GAGGAGGAGAAGGAGGGGGAGGAGGAGGAGGAGGGAGGATGTTAGAGGTTGGAGGTTGGAGGACGAGGAGGCATGGGTGGGAGAAGGAGGAGGAGGAGGAGGAGGAGGAGGGGATGTGATGAAGGGCAGGAGGTGGACGAGCAGGAAGGGATGGGGAGGAGAAGAAGGAGGAGGAGGAGGCGGATTTGGAGGATGAGGAAGCGGCGGATTTGGAGGAGGATGAGGAGTAGGAGGAGGAGGAGGAGAAAGGAGGAGGAGGAGGCGGAGGAGGAGGAGGAGGAGGCGGAGGAGGAGGAGAAGGAGGAGGAGGTGAGGAGGAGGAGGAGGAGGAGGAGGAGGAGGAGGAGGAAGGCAGGGTGTGAGGAGGAGGAGGAGGAGGAGGAGGAGGACGAGGAGGAAAAGGAGCAGGAGGAGGAGGAGGAGGCGGGATGGAGGGAGGAGGAGGAGGACGACGACGTCATCGACGACGAAGACGACGACGACGACGGCGGCGGCGGCGGCGGCGACGACGACGACGACGACGGCGACGAGATGACGAAACGACGACGACGAGGAGGGGGAGGACGACGATGAGCGCCTGGTCAGGCGGCAGCGATCGCGCTGCAGAAGCCCCCGCGGCCAGTCCAGCGCCAGCGCCGTTGTACCAGGGCCCGTGGAAGTTTGCGCAGCTCCCGGAGAGGTGCTCCTCTCGACAAGCAAACAAGACAAACACCAACACGATCTTCTGAAGGTTCACGCCGATGGGCCATGGATGGCCTCTCGCCGATCTACTGCTCATTGGCCCAATCCCAAAGAACCCAACTCTCGGAGTTCCGCGCGGATTTCTTGGATCTGCGCTGGGCCCTCCTGGCCGCGTCTGGGGCGCCGCCCCTGGCGCGCTCCGAGCGCCAGGGGGGGTGGCCCATCGCACATCCAACACATCCGCGCGGTCCTTTGGAAGTTCATGTTTCTGTTCTTTCCTGCTGTCGCAGCGGGCCGGGCATCTGGCGCCTCGGACCGCATCGGGGCGGGCTGGTGCGTTTTCGTTTTCGTTTGGCCTCCGGGAGGAGGAGGAGGAGGAGGGAGGAGGAGGAGGAGGAGGGGGAGGAGGAGGAAGAGGGGGAGGAGGAGGAGGGAGAGAAGGAGGAGCGAGGAGGAGGAGGAAGAAGAGGAGGAGGAAGAGGAGGAGGAGGAGGAGGAGGAGGAGGAGGAGGAGGAGGAGGAGGAGCAGTGCGCGCGAATTGGTGTGTTTTTCTGCGCTGGGCCCTCCTTGGCTGCGCCTCGGTCGCCGCTCCTGGCGCGTTCCGCGCGCCCAGGGAGGGGGGCCCATCGCCGATCCAATGCATTTATGTCGGGCGTGTCCCTCTACAGGAGGAGCGTTCACAAGTAATTAGAACATAGTCTGGGGATTATTTTTTGTTTTGACCATATGGGGGTATTGATGGACTATTTTTCATTTTTCGTCCGAATTCCCTCTGTAGGGGGACATGCCCGACCTAAGAGCAGGGAGGGGGGCCCATCGCCGATCCAACACATCCGCACAGACTACCGAATGTTTACAGTAAACCCACATAGTAGGGATGGGAACCTTCCCAAGGGTACCCTCGCATCCGTGCTTCTTCGGTCCATCCTCGGCCACTTTCGCCGGCCGCGCCCCGCTCGCAAGGTGTCGACATTGCCTTTCAAGGCCCTTGCATTCTTACCGCGCATCCTTACTATACTGGTTGAATGTATGTTCTTTTGTTGCTGTCGCAGCGGCACAGGCGTCCTGGCACCTCGGACAACCTCGGGGCGGGCCGGGGTGTCACCGTTTTTTGTGGGGGGCCTCCGGCAGGCTGGTTCCAGACCTCGGGGCCGGCAACGAGTTGAATAATGCCCTGTGAGGAGTAGCCACCTCCGGGGGATGATTGGAGAGGTGCCAGCGATTTTTACAGCACCTCGGGAAGGATTCGAGAGGTGCCGGCGATTTCGAGAAAAAACATCCAATACATTCAATTGGAAGAAACAGCGCTGCCCCCCCCCCTATGTCAATGTTCAGATTCTTGCGCGGGCCGCTTCTTTTCAGAAAGTGGGTTGTTTTCCGAGGCCGTCTGCATCCCCTCAGGTCGACCTCCGCGAACTTTGAAACACAGGAGTTCCTATTCCATTTCTTTCCGACATTGAAGTTTTTTTCTCTCGAAAACCACGGTACGGGGGGCCACGCATCGAAAAGATACGAGCCCCAGACGTTTGGGAACAGGGGCCAGCCCAACCAGGAGTCAGCCAATCCGGCCCGATCCCTCCCGACAGACCTGTGTTTGGGAGCCACGTAGAACGTAGAGGCTCCATACAGTCGGGGCGCATCAAAAAAAACCTTTTTCGTTTGGGAGGGGCTCCGTGCTCCTTCATTGTTCCACAGTTTGCCTTGGGTGTTCCTTACGCTGTCGATGGGAAGTCGAAGTTTAATTCATGAAATAACAGGGGCTTAGTTAGCTATTTAGGGTTCCTTAGGTCAATGCCTCGACTGCACCTCCTCCTTCGCCCTCGCCCTCTGGCCACTCGGATCTGGGAGCCTCTTCATGGCCGACCCAAGTCCTCGCGGGTCCGGCCGGCTCAAGTCAACCCCGACCTGGGTTCGCCTCTGCCCAGGAGGTAACAAAAACACACAGACGCAATGAATCGTCGATTCCCAAAGGAATGTGGGAAAATATGGGAAATGGGGGGGAAGACGAAAACCCAGAAAATAATATGGGAAAGTATGGGGAATCCTGTTATTTGTGTGTGTGTGGTTATTTGTGTGTCCTTGGGCCCCTTGATCCGCCCTCGATCCTCGAGGATCGGTGGAGTTTTTGTTGGTGGGGGGGGGGGCCTCCAGAGCTCCTCGAGGCGCTCTTGTGGTCACGGCAGGAGTCTCCTCGGAAGCCTGGCCAGACCGCAACCCGGGATGGGTTTGGAGGTCAATCGTTGTTTCCCGGCCCAGGCCCACGGGGCAGCTCCCGGCTAGGTGCGCAGACCCCTGGCGGCATGAAACAACCGATGATCGAGCTTCGATGAGTCGGCGGCGAGCGAGAGGGGGAAGTGTGATGGAGACGGCCTTCTGAGGGGATTCTGAAGTCCCCTGGCCTTCTGAGACGTTCTCCAAGCCTTCCCCGAAGGCACAGGAAACTTCTCCTCAGAAGGCCAGCGGGCTTTGAGAAGCCCTGCCGCCTTCTGAGAAGACCTTCTCCTTCTCACTTCCCCCCTTCGCTCGCCTCCGAGTGAAGAGAATGGGGCCCCGATGGAAGGTTTGTCGGCCCCACTGGGCCCTTCAGGCACCTGGCACCGTCACGACAATACGCATGATGGAAAGTCGCAGTGGCTTGCTCCGCTCCAGGATGTGCTTCACTGGCTCATGGAAAATCGAGGTGGTGTTTAATGTTTCTGGGCTTTCTTGTTTGTTTCTGGGCGTGTTCGAAGCAGGGGCTGCTTCGCCAGGAACGAATTCCCCATGGTATGGGTCCAGGGGGGGGATGACCCGGACTTCTGGCGTCCGGGAGAAGGGCGAGACAGTCGGCGCCAGCCTGGTTCCCTGGAGGCCCGTTTTCGGGTCCCACGGCCATCAGGCCGTGAGGATGAAACGCGAGTCGCCGAGATGGGCTCGAGACCAGTGGATTATCCAGATTTATCTCCCTAGATATGTGTGTATATCTGTGTATATATAGATATATGCAGGTGCATATTGCCCAAGCGCTTCGGGGTTCTCACCTCTGTTCTATGGAATTAGGCTGGTGTGCCACTCTGGTGGTGGAATTGCCGCCGTCGCCGCCCTGCCGCCGTCTCGGCGCGGCGCCGCCCGTTGTCTGGGCCGATGGGCCGCTCTGGCGGCTACGTTGCCGCTGTCGCCGCCCCGTCGCCGCCTCGTCGCCGCCCCGTCGCCGCCCGTCGACTGCCAGTCTGGCGACTATGCTGTCGCCGTCGCCGCTTTTTCTTCAGCCTCGTCGCCGCCCGTCTTATGGGCCTGGGTGGCCGTCTGGCGGCTCCGTGGTCGTCATCCCCGCCCCGCCGCCGCCTAGATTGCACAACATACATTTGACCACATAGATTCGACTGCATAGATTGCACCACGTAGACTGCACCACATAGATTGCACCACGTCGATTGCACCACATAGATTGCACCACATAGATGATGCTCTAGAACTCACCACACAGTCAGCACCAAGTCGATTGCACATATTGCGCACCACATATACTGCACCAAGCGCAAATGATCGCACAACATCTATTGCACACCATGTATTGCAAACCATAAATGACACCACATGCTTAGCCCACATGTATCTCCCCACAACGAGTGCACAGCACATATTTCACGCCATGTATTGCACAATATATGTAGCGCAAATTGTTCTTGCACCATGTCGGATGCACCACACATGTCGCCCCACACTCATTGCACAGCATAGAGTGCTAGCCATTCCTGTTTTTGGGTCCGCGCTGGCTGGCAGATACGTGCATCGATATGTACGCGTGGTTCGGCCGCCTATTGGAGGTAGGCTTAAGTCGGGCGTGTCCCTCAACAGGAGGAACATACAAACATAGTAAAAAAGATTGTCCGGGGACGATGTTTGCCTATTTTTTGAATCATTTTGGAGTATGTTTGGGGTATCTCTGATTTTTCGTCCTGCATTCCCCCCTGTAGGGGGGCAGGTCCGACCTACAGGTAGGCCTTCTTGAACGTCCACACCCCAACCTGGCCCTCAGCGCCTCCCCGGGCGCCTTGCTCTGGCCGCCCGCGGCTCGGGCGGGCCGCGGGCCGACCAGCCTGCTCCGGCCGCCCCCCCCCTCCTGCGCTCCGGGCTCCTGCCGGCCTCCGAGCGGCCGCCCCGCGGGGCAGGATCGTCGGGGCCTCCTCGCGGGCGGTTCTGGCCGTCGGCCCCGGGGTCCCCAAGGGGGGGGAAAGGCGCGAGTGTCGGAGCCGTGCCTCCATGTGGGGAGCCCCGTGCGCGTGCTGCGTTTCGTCGTCCGTGCTCCGAGGCCTGCGTCTCTTCCTTCGGGGAGGTGTGGTAGGCTGGTGCCCACGCTCTCTGACGGGCTCGTCCCGAATTTTTTGGCGGTCCAGGTTCCGTAGGACGCCTGCAGCGGGAGCACGCGTCGAATGCCAGACTGGGTCTCTCGCCGTGCTCCTGACGGCCACGTCGGGCCAACCAGAATCCCCCGAGAACCCGAGTCTTGCGCGTCCCCCGATTTTTCCGGCGGTGACTCGCAGAAGGCCTCTCCGCGGCGGCGTGCCGCGGAGATGCTGCTCTTGCTCCCCGGGAGACCCTCCCCTGGACGTGCGCCGTCGGTGGCCGCCCCCCGCGCTTCGCCCGCGGGGAGTGTGTGTGTGTGTGTGTGTGTGTGTGTGTGTGTCCAGGCCCGGCGGAGGGACTGTCCGCGGACGCCCGAAGCGCGGCGTAGAGTCAAGGGGCTGAAGCTGAAGCAGTAGCGAAGCGTCCTGGCTCGCCTATAGGCCTACCAAACAATGTTCTAATAACCGTTTGTGGTTTGCACGAGATATTCTAAGAACATTTCTGGTTGAGGCTGTGTTGTTTTAACCGATTGGGTGAATGTTCTCAGAACATTGTTTGTCTTATTCGAACATTTTTTGGTTTCAAGAACATTTCGTGGTAGGACTAGAGGAAGGCTTGGACGGTCCATCCTTGCTCAAGCACGGAGCAGTTTGGGCTTCAGAAGGGGCTTCACGTTTCTCGGGTATTCACCGAGCGCGTTCCACTACTTGCAATCTGCCTACTCTGATGTAATTGATCGTCGTTCCCCTGCGGGGGATCCAGGCCTTTTGCGATTAGTTACGGTGCGAGTAGTGGAGCGCGCTCGTCTATGGCTGCTCCTCCAGCCCCCCTCGCGAACGAAGGCGGCTTTGGGGCTGAGGAGGGGCTTCGTTCCCTCCTTTGGCGTTCCCGATTGCCGCGGCCTGACGGTACTTGTTCCTCTCGGAAGAGAGGGTTCTTGGAGGGACGGGGTCCTGGAGCTTCGTTTTTGTCAGATTTTCGAGCGTCCCGGGGACCCCCAGACAGTCTCCGGAGTCCGGAGTGGGAGGCTGATTCTGGCGGAGGCCCCAGGGACCCAGGACCGAAGAGGAGGAGGAGAAGGAGGAGGAGACCCAGGACCTGCGTCCAGCAGGGCTTGGTTCGTTCTGTCGATGTGCCTTTTGCTCACCTCCTCAGAGGTACCAGCAGCAGGTCAGAAAGACGGGCTGAGCGCCCCCCTCCAGCGGTGTTGCTGGCCGAAGGCAGCTTCTCCATGGTGCCAGGGCAGACTGGATCGGATGATAGCGCAGAGTCGCCGATGCATCTGTAATGCGATGCGCTGCGATCCGTGGCCTGGGCTCCTCCGTCCCGAAGTCACGAATGCACTGACGATGCGTCGCCGATGCATTGGCAATCCTCAGATCTCATTCGCTGTGGTCGATTCTTGCGAGGCCTCCACCCTCTCGCCAGGGGCCCGGTCTTGGCTCCTTGGCTGCGCCGTGCCCTGCCCACCGTGCCAGGCCAGCATTTCAGGGGCGATTGCTCAAGGAGTGCCCAGGAGGACGGAACGTGTGACGCCTCGTGTTCCAAGGCTCGGGGGAGCCGCAACATGTACAGTGGGGGCGCGTGCCAAGAAACCAGTTGGATTCTGCCAGGGCGCCCCGGGTTCCTTGGATTTCGATGGGCCCACAATGTGATCTTGACGATTCTCGATCGACGAATTTGGATTTTCACCGAACAAGTCGCGGATTTCAGGGTTGGGTTTCTTGCGAGGGTTTCTTGTGGCCGAGCCCCCACTGGAACAAGCTCCTCTGCGTCGCGTCGGGGCATCTTTCCTCGTCCTCGGCGTCGACCCTCGCCCAGCCCCGATGCTCGCTCCTCTGCGCAATCCGCCTGCCCCGTCTCCTCCCCCCGCTCCTCCTCCGTTCCTCATGGCCGGTCCTCTCCTGCGGCGGCCGCTGGAGCAGCGCCCAGATGGCCGCCACACGCGACACCTCGACTGTCTCTTGAGTCGCTTCGGGGCTTTGTTGGCTTGCTGTGGGGCCGCGGCCTGGCGAAATGGATGATGATGATGAAGCTGCTGTCAATGATGATGGTGATGAGGATGATGAGGATGATGAGGATGATGAGGATGATGAGGATGCTGAGGATGCTGAGGATGCTGAGGATGAGGATGCTGATGAGGAGGATGATGATGAGGATGAAGATGATGATGAGGATGAGGATGATGCGGAGAGGATGAGGAAGAGGATGATGAGGATGATGAGGATGACGGTGCTGCTGCTGCTGATGATGGTGGTGGTGGTGACGGTCATGATGATGATGTTGATGATGACGATGATCAGTGATGATGATGCTGATGATGATGATGATGATGCTGATGCTGATGTTGTTGATGATGATGCTCATGATGATGATGATGACGATGGCGATGTTGATTATGATGATGAGTATGATGAATACGATGATGGTGAGGATGAGGATGAGTTCGAGGATGAGGATGAGGATGAGGATGGTGCTGATGAAGATGGTGCTGATGATGCTGATGGTGCTGATGATGCTGCTGCTGATGATGATGATGATGATTATGATGATGATCAGGATGGTGCTAAGGCTGATGATGATGATGATGATGATGATGATGCTGATGCTGATGATGATGCTGCTGCTTGTGATGGTGAGTATGCTCATGATTGATGCTTCATGCTTGGTGCTGATGGTTATGCTGCTGCAGCTAATTTGCTGATGATGCTCTTACTGATGATGCTGCTGCTGCTGATGTTGATGAAGCTGATGACGGTGATGCTGATTATGATGATGACGATGCTGATGACGATGATGATGATGATGCTGTTGCTGCTGCTGATGATGATGCAGATGGTGATGGTTGTGGTGTTGGTGTTGGTGATGTTGGTGGTGATGATGACAGGAGGATGAGGATGGCTACTATGACGGTGGCGAGAGTGACGATGCCTATGAAGATACTTGCAATGGTGTGGTGATGACGGCGACGATGCCGACGATGTCGGTGGTTCAGTTGTTGAGGATGATGATGAGGAGGAAGAGGAGGGTGATCGTCAGGAGAGGAATGTTGATGAGGATGAGGATCTATGCGGGCGAAGGGGGTGAGGAGCATGGTGAAAGGAGGAGGAGAAGGAGGGGGACGAGGAGGAGAAGGAAGAGGAAGAGGATGAGAAGGACATTGAGGAGGAGGAGGAGGAGGACCAGGAGGAAGGCTATCGCAGTCGGCACGTCTCATTCCCTTTGCGTAGCTCTCATGAGACTTGTTAGGCCGTCTTGGGGCTTGAGGCCCTCTTGGTCGTATGGGGGGTCTCCTGGAGCCGTCGTGGAGCCGTTTTGGGGCCGTCCTGGGCCGTCCAGAGGCCCTCTCAGGAATCTCAACGGGCCCTTTTGGGCGCTCGCTGACCGCACGTGGACCGATCGTCACCCAAAGAGCGTGGAACGTGAACACATAACACATGTTAGGACAACATGTGTTCGGCCACTCGAGGGCTTCCAGCGTCTTGGGTTTTTTTTGTGGCTTCGTTGAGGCCTCCAGGAATCGTTTCGGCGCTTGGAAGCTGTTGGGTATTTGAAGCAGTGTCGAGTCAGCTTGGCGGCCGTGGTTCCTGGGCCATCCAGGAGGGCTCGGAGGGCCTTTCAGAGCGCGAGGGAAGTGTTAATCCGCCCCCGGAAGCCTTGGAGAGGGGATGGGGGGCAGTGCATGCGCGTGGGCGCTACCCAGAGGCGGGGGCCCCGAGAAGATTGTACAGAGACCTTGCCAGGCAGCACGTGTTGGCATTCCAGCACGCCCGCATCGTGCAGGCACGGTGATGGGTCGGTGTTTCCCTGCCTCCCCCTCCCTTCCATCTCGCCCCCTCGGAGGTTGCCAGGGGTGCACCGTCTTGGCCCTGGGAGCCCCCAGCTTTCCGTGCAACTCGTGGAGCTCCTATGGCCTCCTGGGCCTCGTGGGCCAGGGTCAGGGTCAGACCCTTCGGTGGCCAAATGTGAACCCTCCCCCTCCCCCCTACGATTTGTAGGAGGGGGGTGGGGGTTCGCCTCGCTCGGGAGCTCCCGAGCGGAGTGCACCCCGACTCCCCCTGAGAAATTGTGCCGGGGGGTGCGTTCCGACCAGAATCTTGAGGCGAATCCAGCGATGTCGACACGAAGCCCCCCAGAGGGCCAGAATGCCCCGGAGGTCTTCTATGCTGTCGTGCGCTGGAGATCCAGGCACCTCGCATTGCTGGAAATCAATGTGCGCTGGAAGTCCTGGGGTACGAGGGTCGAACATCGACCCCTGGACCTCTCCTGGGTTCCGCTCTGACCAAGACGGAATGGTTCACGCGTGTTCACCTCACCCTGGGCCGGGGCCACCTCCCGACACCTGACGCAGTGCCTCTTCCCAACGTGGACCCCTCGAGAGGGGGGCCTCGACGCCTGCCCCAGGAGGACCAGCTTGGGAACCCGAGCCCACTGGGACAGTCCCAGGCCCGGCGAGGGCTCAAAGTGTCCTCCTCCTCCTCCTCTTCCTCCTCCTCCACCTCCTCCTCCTCTTCCTCCTCCTCCTCCTCCTCCTCCTCCTCCCCTCCTCCTCTTCCTCCTCTGGCCACAACTTTACAGAACAGAGCCGTTGCGGTTTTCGTACGGCGCGAGGGGTCTGGGTTCGGCAGCATCCGATTTCTGTTCTCAGCCCGCAGCTCCCATCGATCCACTCTCGTTCGACCCTCCCACTGCAGCCGTGGGGCCTCAGCTGCAGGAGAATTCGCGAGTCCTCCTGTGCCGACTCTGATGAGGGCAGATGCCGAGCTAAGCTCTCCCGTCTGCTTTTTCGGGGGCGCCGGAAGGGGTGAGACTGGCTCGGGTCGGGGGGCAAGCGACGGGGGTCAGCCATCCCCCTCTGATCCCCACGGGCCGGCGCCAGTTTGGGAGCCAGGAGGAGGGGGCTCATGCTCGCGTTGATATCCAGGTTGCCGTGATATCCAGGTTGCCGCGCATACGTCGGCACGAACGAATGCCCAACAGCAGTTCCTGTTCATTTTGAACAGGACTCGCTGTCGGTGTCGCCGCGGCCTGTGTACATGTGAGAAAGAAGGCCGCCTGCCCAACAGCGGCCGCTGTTGGTTTGGGATAACCTTTGTTGTTGGGCATTGTACTCATTTTTTCCGTACCCATCCCGGACGTCCAAGACCCGGACCAGTCGGGAGGCCATCGTCGACCCTAGATGTCGAAGAATCACATCGGCATAAACCTAAACTTTTGGCGCTCGGCGCGGATTTCTTGGGGCGCCTCCGGCGCCGCCCCTGGCGCGCTCCGCGCGCCATGGAGGGGGGTCCAGCGCAGATCCGAGAAGTCCGCGCGGAGCGTCGAGAGTCTATGTTTGTGTTGTTTTCCTTTTTCAATCTCGCTCCCACATCGCCAGTCGGGGCGCTGAAGAAGGAACCCTTTTCGCTTGGGAGGGGCTCCGTGTTCCTTACTTTTTTTGCAGTTTGCCTCTCCTGTTTTCCTTAGGTGTTCGATGGGACATCGAAGTTTAATTTATGGAAAGAAAGGGGCCTCGTTCCTTATATCAGGCTCCTTAGGTCAACGCTCCGACAGTGTCGCTGGTCGGGGCTGGGGAGCCCCATCGTGCCCGGGAACGTGCTGCTTCGCCATCGGTCGGGGGCGCATCGGCGAGGTGGAATGATGGTGCCCCACCGTGTCCCCGGGAGCGCGGCGTGTTTCGCTGTGTCGGGAGGCGCCTTATGTGGCCTTATGTGACCCCGCGGCCGCAGAAGGAAGGAGCGCAACGGTCTTGTTGGGCGGGTCTCATCGGGGGCTTGAGGCACCAGGATCCGCTGCCCAAGCTGTGTGTTGATGTTCCGGCTTGCGCCCGGTGGCCCCAGTGCATTCGGTTCCACCCCATCCCGTTCCCATGGGAAGGCCCCTGTTTGGCTCCCCTCCCTTTCCGGGTGTTGCCGGGGGCGGCCTTGGCTTGAGGCGACCCCAGCTTTCCTGGCGCGGCACAGATGACCTCCAGAGCACCCGTTTCGCGGAGCCCAGAGGGCCCCAGGGCGTCCAGCAGCCGGTTGTTGTGTAGTTCATGGGGCGCTATAGCAGGAGGGGTGGACGGTGCCTCCCGTGTTCCTCAGGGGCCCTGCAGGGGCCCTACAGGGGCCCTACGGGACCCAAAAGGGCACGAAGGGTGCACTCGTCTTCCCCCCCGCCCCATGGATCGCCCCCACGTGAAGCGAGGCCCAGAGCATGGCGCGACAGCTGGATGCTTCTCGGGCCAGGGCCACCCCCTGCTTCGGCACCTGCTGCCCTGGCGTGGTCCTGCTGGCTCGCCGCCCGGCTCAACGGCCGCCTCGCGCCAGCCCGGCCGGTGGCTCGCTGCACGTCGGGCACCCCCGCTGGGCCGCCCTGCCCCGGTTGGGGGTCCACATTGGTATGATGGGCTCGTTTTCCACCACCACCACCAGAAGTTGGAGGGGGGAAGGAGGTGGAGGAGGAAGAGGAGGAGGAGGAGGAGGAGGAGGAGGAGGAGGAGGAGGAGGAGGAGGAGGAGGAGGAGGAGGAGGAGGAGGAGGAGGAGGAGGACCCCCTCCCCCTCCTTCTTGTGGTGGTGGTGGCGGTGGTGGTGGTGGTGGAAGACGAGCCCACCACGGGTACACGGCCGCGCCGACAAGAGGCGACGGCGGCCTGCCGCCCTGTCCCGGGCTAAAGGCTCGGACAGCGCGCGATCTCCAGACTTTGGGCGTCGTCGGCACGAGGCCACGAAGAAAGCGACAGTGCTCTGGTCGGGCCGGGCGAAAGGGGGGGATTGGGAAAGGGGGGGGTACGGAAACTTGCTGCATGCAGCTGGTTTCGGCCCCACCGAGGGGCCCATTCCTCGATACATGGGCGCCTCCGGCGCCGGGAGGCGCCGGGAAAATCAGCTACGTGAGCTGATTCTCAAACCCCCCCTTTGCTATCCCCCCCTTTCGCCCGACCCGATCTGGGGGTCTTCTCCACTCTCGGGGGTGGACAGACCTCCTACCCTGACGCGTCGACTCGCGAATCGGCTGTTTTCGTGTCGCGAGAGGGCGTCGCGGCCGTCATTTTTGCTGGTCCAGGTCCGTCGGTTTCGGTCCCAGGCCGTTTTCACTAAGGGTAGGTTTACTAAATGGAGGTTTGTCCACCGCCGATCGTCCCAGGGGGAGGAGGGTGGGGGTGTTCTGGGGGACTCTCCTGCGACCTTCTCTTCCCCTCCGTCTGCTGCTATTCCTTCTCGTGGCCCTCGTTCTCCCTCCTGCCCTCCCTACCCTTCGCAGTTGCAGAATATGAATACTACTCTCCTCTCTCCTGATGGCGTCTGGAAGATATTCGGCCCAAAGGATTCCCAGGAACTGGGTTTTCGCTTCGGTTATTTTTGAAAATGCTGCTCCCGCTGAGTCGCTGGCCTCACTCTCGGGCTTCCGCTCGTTCCGAAACGTGCACCGGCTGCAGCGCTGGCCTCATTTCCACGTTTCCCCTCGTTCCGAATCGTGCTGCCGCTGCAGCGTTGGCCTCATTGCCGCACTTTCGTTCGTGGCCACAGAAGCCGCCCCCCCCCCCCACTTTGGGGCGTCGCCACGCCATGCTATGTCATGCTGCGCCGTGATCTTTAACACCATGCTATGCCATGTAATGCTACGCCATGCTACGACATCCGACTGTGCGAACAGAGAGGAGATCTGCGCCGTGGAGAGGAACGGGAGGGAGGGGCAGGACGCCAGATGGGACGCGAGCGCACCTGGCTTGTCCCGCTCCTCCTCCTCCCCCGCCGCCTCGCCGCCTCTCCCGCCCTCGCCTCCCTCCCCCCCCTGCGGCTGCAGCCCGCAGCGGCTGCCGCTGCCGCTGCCGCCGAGGCCAGGAGCGGGAGCAGGAGGAGGAGGAGGAGGAGGAGGAGGAGGAGGAGGAGGAGGAGGAGGAGGAGGAGGAGGAGGAGGAGGAGGAGGAGGAGTAGGAGTAGGAGTAGGAGTAGGAGGAGGAGGAGGAGGAGGAGGAGGAGGAGGAGGAGGAGGAGAGGAGGAGGAGGAGGAGGAGGAGAGGGAGGAGGAGGAGGAGGAGAGGAGAGGAGGAGGAGGAGGAGGAGGAGAGGAGGAGGAGGAGGAGGAGGAGGCGGAGGCCGCCGCCTTGGCCGCCGCCGCCGCTGCGGCAGCCGTTCCCCCCCCCCCCCCCCCCCCCCCTGCAACCGAGCGGGAGGACGGGCCCGCCCGGGCCCGAGGGGCCGCCCGGGCCGGAGCCCGCCGGGCTGCCCAGCCTCCTCCGGAGGCGGGCGCCCCCTCTCCTCCTCCCTCCTCCTTCCTCCTCTCCTCCTCCTCCTCCTCTCCTCCTCCCTCTCCCCTCCTCCTCCTCCTCCTCACCTCCTCCTCCTCCTCCTCCTCCTCCTCCTCTCATCCCTCCTTCCTCATCCTTCCTCCCTTCCTCCTCATCCTCTCCTCTTCCTCCTTCCTCCTCCTCCTTCCTCCTCCTCCTCCTCCCTCCTCCTCCTCCTTCCTCCTTCCTCCTCATCCTTCCTCCTCCTCCTTCTCCTCCTCCTCCTCCTCCACCTTGCTCCTTCCTCCTCCTCCTCCTCCTTCCTCCTCTCCTTGAATGTTTGGAGGAGTAGCTATGCCCCTGCGCCTGGTGTGGCGAGCGAGGAGCTCCCTCGAACTAGTCTCCATAGTCTCCATAGCCTCCTCCTTCCTCCTCCTCCTCCCCCTCCTTCTCCCCCTCCTCCTCCCCCCCCTCACCCCCCTCCAGCCAGCGACTACTACTTATGAACCCTACCCCTGCGAGTCCAATCGGATCCCCCCGCTGGGATTCATTTGGCAGCGGACATCCTTTGAATTTTGAGCCCCAGCTCCCCCCCAAGAATTCTAACAGGGGCTCACGTGTTATGGGGATGGCGGGGCCCTCCAAGGGTGCTGCCAGCCCTCGACTGCCCTGCCTCGCCAGTCCAGGCCCAGGATGATGAAGCAAGCTGTCACTGAGAAGAAAAGAAGCCCTACCCCTCATTACACAATGATGACGTGGCCTCACTGATATCCCCGTCGTTGCATTGAGGATCATGAGTCTGGGCAGCTCGGCTTAATACATGTGCTGAAGAGACCCCCCTACCCCTGCTGCTTGGGGCCCTTCTAACTTAGGTCCAGGGTCAGGGGTACAGTCGGGTTGCTAAACAAAGAACCCTTGTCGTTGGGGAGGGGCTCCGTGTTCCTTAATTGTTTCGCAGCTTGCCTTAGGTTTTCCTTAGGTTTTCGATTGGGCATCGAAGTCTAACTTGCTGAAAAAAGGGGCCTCGTTCCTTATTCAGGGTTCCTTAGGTTTTCGCCCCGAGTGTACCTGTTTCGGCCAGCAAGCTGGGGGTGCCACGCCGGTCTCCGTGCAGCACCTGGGGGCGGCGCCAAGTGCGCGCCGCGCCGCCGGCCCGGGGCAGCCCTCTGCTGCCGGGCGGCGGAAGGGGGAGCCCCCGGGCCGGGGCAAGGCGGACCGGCACGAACGAGATTCTGGGGGGGCATCTTTTTTTTGATGGCTGATGGTAGTTGTAGGAAGCACATCATTCTGGAGTTGTCCCGAGCGAGCTGGGGGTTTACAGTCCTGTCTGATAATGGTTCCCTTCTGGTTTCCGTCGACGGCCCTGTGCTGGCCCCCTTCCCCCAAACCAGTCAGGCGGGGAGAGCAGCTCCTGTCCGCTTGGGGCAGGGCTCGTGGTCGGTGTGGCCGCGGATGCTGTCCGCTCGGGAGAGGCGGAGGGCAGAGGAGGCAAGGTACCCAAAACCTCTACCCCTCGCCCGTTTTCCCCCGTCCTTTGGGGCCTCCCGGGAGATCCTGGTCAGAACGCGCCCCGGGAGAGGTCCGGGGGGTAGCGGCATCGGTACCTTTTGGTTTCCCAGGAAGGCCGCCTGCCCGGCAGCGGCCGCTGTTGGTTCTGGACCAGCTTCCTGGTGTTTGTTGCGCATCCCGCCGACGCTGTTCGACCATGCCCGTTTCAGGCGCGCCAGGAGCCGAGCAGGGGATCGACGGCAGAATTGGTTCACCCATGGGACGTCCCTGAGAATGCATTCACCAGATTTGTTCATCGAATCCATGGGACAGGTGTAGGATGTTCGTCAATCTGGGAACGTTCTACGTATAACTCGACGAGAAAATCAATTCTGGGTAAATCAATTCTGTAGTCGGTTCCCTACTCGAAAGAGGAAGGGGGCCTGGTTGACCCTCTTACTTCCGTCTTTAGCGTCGGCTAGCGTTGGGCCTCGGTGAGACAGCGCCGATCTAGCGTTGGTTAGCGTCGGTTAGCGTTCGATTAGCGTCGATTAGCGTCGATTTAGCGTCGACTGGCGTCGATTCGCAAGAGCCGACAAGATGGTATGGGAGGCTCCCATTTGCCACCGAAGCGGAGCAGGTCCCCCCCCCGCCCTCCTCGGGCAGCCCCACCCCGCGCAAGGCCCGCGCACCGCGCTGCCGCCCGAGCGCCTGCGGCCTCGCCGGCGCTCCCGCGGCGCAGGGGGCCTGCCGCTGGGACGGCGGCGTCGGGCGCCCTGGGCGCGAGGCCAGCGGGCCAGCAGCGCCAGCTCGGGCGAGCAGGAAGGGGGGCGAGGCTCGAGGTGTTGGGTTCGAGGATGTGGTTTTTGCCTCTCGCGGCCTCCCAGAGGGGCCGTGTTCGTGCCCCAGGGCCGCCAGAGCGGATCCCGGGGTGGTAAAGTTACACACCAGATGCACCCGGGGAAGGGGTCCGGGAACCGACTTTGAGCGGACTTGGCCTCATCTCCCCTCCTGGCTGATTTTTTGGGGCTCCGTTGCATCCATTTCAGACCCCTTGGTCGGATCTAGTCACAACCCCAGTTAAGGGAACCAGGTTAGTGATCAGGACCCGAAGCCCAAAAAATTGGCTGGTGTCTCTCCTGGTGACAGCAGTTCCAGTTCGTGGAACGGGGCGAGGGGGGGTGCGTCCCCAGGTACACATCAGGAACCGGGTCCCTCCAAACCCAGTCCTGCGAACCCCCGAAACCACTTCGCCTCCAACCCCCCAGCACATTCGTCGGGGGTGGACAGAACCCCCACCCTGACACGTCGATTAGTGAATTGTCCGTTTTCGGCTCTCGAGAGGGCGCCGCGGCCGTTATTTTCCATGCTTGCGCCCGCCAGTTTTGGGCCCGAGGTCGCTTGCACTAAACCACTTTATACTAAAGGCGGTTCTGTTGCGGGCAATATATGTATCCATATCCAGTGCGTCTTGGACTTTTTTGGAAGGGGCGCCGCAAGGCCGAGGCGCACTGGATATGGATAAACATCTAGCCTTGTGGAGGCAGAGTATAATCCATATCCAGTGCGCTTCATGCTGCTTGGGAAGAGAGCCCGAAACTCCAAGGCGCACTGGAAGTGGATATAGACATTGCCCGCATCTGTCCATCCCTGGATTATTATTATCATTATTATTGTTATCATTATTAGTATTGCTATTAATTTTTTATTGTTATTATCATCTCTGTCATTATTATCATCATTATTAGTAGTATCATCATCATTGTTATCATCATTATTATTATTCGGCGGCGCGTGCGGGATGGCCCTTCGCGGGGGCGACCTTCGGGATCGCGGCTTCCGGCAGCTCCGGGGGGGCCACGCCCCGAGCACGCCGGCCGCCGATTGCTACCGCGTGGCGTGCAGCGGTCGGCCGGCCGCGCGCGCTGGAGGTAAGCTGCTCCGACCGACCCTGGCCGGGGCCGCCGGGGAGAACTGCGAGCAGCAATTCGGGTGCCACTCCTGGGAGGTCAAAGTTTGAGTTTGCCCTGGTCCGAAGTCCGGCTTACTCCGGCTTAACCCCGCTTAATCCGGCTGAATCCCGCTTGATCCGGCTCAATTCCGTGTAATCCAATGCCGCCTTCTGACGTAACAGCCCCGCAGCACAGCCCCGCAGCGGGGCTTAATCCTCCTTAATCTTTCCGACGAAGACCTCCCAGCAGTTGCCTCCGAACATCCAGGAAGTATCGGAGCCGGCGGGTTTTCACGTGCTGGGCCCTGGGAGGCGATGCTCGCTCGACCCCAGCGTGTCGGGCAGGCACTGTGTCGACTCTCTTCTGGGTGCTCTGAGTGACGTCTGGCACGCGGTCCTAAGATACGATGGGCACAGCATATCGCTAGAGGTCCTCTCTTTTAATTATCGGGTCACTCCTGCGCGCAGGCGAGCCCCGCCCGCGCTCGCGGTCCGAGGATGGCCACGTCCACCGCATCGGGGGCTCGCCTGGGGAAACGGGTAGTCGTGGCGCTTCTTGATGAGCGCCGGGGGGGCGCCACCCCCACCGACAGCCCCACATCGACCTCCGCCGTGGACAAATGCCGCGCTGGAGGCGATCCAAACCCCGTCTCTTTGCTCCGAGGCGCGCTTAGCCCCCGTCGGGAGGGGGGCAGTCGTGTGGGTCGGAAGGGCTGGACTCTGCTGGACGCCCCAGGAGGCCCACGACAGGCAGTAACATGGATCTGCGTGAGACCGCGGCCCGCGGGATCCCCAAGGAGGCCCGCGACAGCGCCGACAATTGTGCAGTTGACAGCTCCCAAGAGGAAGGTGAGTAGTAGTTTGGGTCAGCGCAGGACGCGCTCCGCTGCCCCCCGGTAGGAGGCGCACGCAGGGGCCAGAAGGTTGGGCAGCTGGCAACCACCAGGAAGGGGAGTCCTTACTTCAATCGCCGAAGAGGACCGCACTGTGGTGGACCCAGGAGCTGTGCAGCTGGCAGCGCTCAGGTAGGGGAGTCAGAGTTCGGGAGGGGAAAACACACACACAGACACAATTAATCGTCGAGTCCAAGGAACATATGGGAAAATATGGGAAGTGGGGGGGAAGACGAAAACCAAGAAAATATGGGAAAATATGGGGAGTCCTTCAATTTGTGTGTATTCATTTGTGTCCTCGGGCCTCTTCAATAGTTTGAGCCAGGACCATTCTCCGCCAGATCCCCGCTCACGTAAGCACCGAAAGTTGCGCAGTTCGCGGCACCCAGGGAGGAGAGCAGTAGTCCGGTTCTACGCAGGAAATCCTTCTCCCGGACCCCCAGGAGGGTCAGGAAAGTGCCGACAGTTGCGCTCAGGGGGTAGAGAAATTGCATGGTCTGTTCAGGGTCGCACACGCCTTGACCCCCCAGCACGAGAATGCCGAAACATGCAGCGCACAGGCAGGGGAGTGATAGTGCGGATCCGCGTCAAATGGCTTTCTGGCGGGCATAGGAACTCCCGAAAGTGTAAACATTTGCGCAGTTGGCAGCGCTCACGGAGGCAGTACTTCGTTCTGGTCTGCTGCGGATCGCACTTCGCTGGACATTGGAGGAGCCCACGGAGATGCCGACAGATGCGCAGTTGGCAACGCCCAGGCAGGGGGAGATCTCGCTTAGGAAAGAGCCGGCAGTTGTGCAGCTTGCAGCGACGAGGGAGCGAAGCAATAGTTTGGGCATGCGTAGGACAGTTCTTTGGCGGACCTCCAGTTAACTCCCGAACGTGTTGGCCCGCAGTCGCGCAGTCGGCAGCGTCCAGCCACGGGTAGAAAAATCGCCCCGACACCAATATGTGACATTGACTGACATTCCTGCGTGTTTACCAGACTTTTCGCTTGTGGGGTTACTTTTTCTCACGGTAGTTCTTCTGCTCTCGACAGAGTGCAGGTTGGATTTGTGTAGGACCGCCTTCCGCAGAGTGTGGGGCTGCGTTCCCGAAAGTGCCTAATGTTGAGCCGTTGGCAGCGTTCAGGGAGGCGAGATCTCGTTTGTCCCCCCCCGTGGTACCGCATTCCGCGGGACCACCCCGACGCTCATCAGGATCGCCACAGATGCGCTTTCGGCAGCACCCATGGAGGGCTAGATCTCGTTTGGGTCCTAGTAGGACCGCGCTTCGCTGAACCCCCCCAACGAGCTCGCAAAGTGACGTTCGTTGTGCCGTTGGAAGCGCGCAGGCAGGGGAAATCAAGGAACAAGCGAAGAGGAAGGGATGCGGCGGGGAGGGGGGGAGACCGGATGAGGAGGAGGGGAGGAGGAGGGGGTGTCGAGGAGGAAGGAAGAGATCAGAGGAAGAGGAAGAGGAAGAGGAAGAGGAGGAGGAGGAGGAGGAGGAGGAGGAGGAGGTGGAGGAGGAGGAGGAGGAGTCGAGGAGGAGGAGGAGTCGAGTAGAAGGAGGAGGACTCAAGGAAGAGGAGGAAGAGGAGCAGGAGGAGGAGGAGGAGTCGATGATGAAGATGATGAAGATGATGATGATGATGATGATGATGATGATGATGATGATGATGATGATGATGATGACGATGATGCTGATGATGATGATGATGATGATGATGATTCTGATGATGATGATGATGATGATGGTGATGATGCTGATGATGGTGGTGGTGGTGGTGATGATGGTGATGGTGGTGGTGATTATGAAAAACCTGATGATGATGCTGATGATGGTGATGCTGCTGCTGATGAGTATGATGATGGTGATGATGGTGATGATGATGATGACGATGATGATGCTGATGCTGATGCTGATGATGATGATGATGCTGATGCTGATGCTGATGATGATGCTGATGATTATGATGATGCTGATGCTGGTGATGATGCTGGTGATGCTGATGCTGATGATGATAAGGATGAGGATGCTGATGATGATGATGATGATGCTGATGATGATGATGATGATGATGATGATGATGATGATGCTGATGCTGATGCTGATGCTTATGCTGATGCTGATGATGACTGATGATGAGATGATGATGATGACGATGATGATGATGATGATGATGATGCTGATGCTGATGATGATGATGATGATGATGATGATGATGATGATGATGAGATGATGATGATGATGATGATGAGATGATGATGATGATGATGATGATGATGATGATGATGATGATGATGATGATGATGAGGATGATGATGAGATGATGATGATGATGATGATGATGATGATGATGATGATGATGATGATGATGATGATGATGATGATGATGATGATGATGATGATGATGATGATGATGATGATGATGATGAGATGATGATGATGATGATGATGATGATGATGATGATGATGATGATGATGATGATGATGATGATGATGATGATGATGATGATGATGATGATGATGATGATGATGATGATGATGATGATGATGATGATGATGATGATGATGATGATGATGATGATGATGATGATGATGATGATGATGATGATGATGATGATGATGATGATGATGATGATGATGATGATGATGATGATGATGATGATGATGGATGATGGAGGAGGAGGAAGGAGGAGGATGAGAGGAGGGAGGAGGAGGAGGAGGAGGAGGAGGAGGAGGAGGAGGAGGAGGAGGAGGAGGAGGAGGAGGAGGAGGAGGAGAGGAGGAGGAGGAGGAGGAGGAGGAGGAGGAGGAGGAGGAGGAGGAGGAGGAGGAGGAGGAGGAGGAGGAGAAGGAGAAGGAGAAGGCGGAGAGGAGGGGCGCGGCAAGGCTCTATCCAAACAGAGGGCCAGCCAAAGGAGTGGCCGAGGCAGCACAGCCCCATGGCAGGGGCCAGGACTTCCCTGGACCCTGGGGCCTCGGAGGTCCCCGGGCCGCCGCGGGCGGCACGGGCCGAACAGCCTCCACGGGCCTCGTCCCCGGCCCTGGGACCCGCAGGTTGCAGCCCACGGCCTGCCGACTCCACACGGCAGTTGGCGTCGGTAGGCCGCTCGGGGCCTCCCGAGACGCGAGGCCGCTCGGGGTTCAGTGCGCCGTGCGGTGGTGGCCGAAACCGGGGCCCCCACGCCGCCCAAGGCTCGGGCGGGCGTTAAAGGGCCCTTTGGAGGGGCCATTTCGGGCCCCTGCTTGCTCCCAAAGGGTCCTGGGGTGTGCCAGTTAGGGCCCTTCTCTTCAACCCCCTGAAAGGTACAGTCGGCATCCTCGCATGGGGGTCACTTTCGATTTCTCCCTCGGCTCTCCCCTGGGCTTCTCGAGCGAAGGTCTCGACCCGAATGGGCCAAGACAGAAACCTCGCTCCTTATTCGAACGTCCTCGCAGCCCGCAAGGCTTCGACTGTGCAGCCGTGGACAAGGACCCGCTAAGTTCCTGCTTCACCCTCTCCCTCCCTTTCTTCCCCTCCCCTCTCTCGAGGACACATGATGCTTCTACGTCACTGGTTCGAAAACGGCTCGGATTCCGTAGCGTAGCGGCGATATGGACCAGGCCCCCACCAGGAAAGTCGACAGTGGTAAAGTAACGGCGCCGGAAACGGTAAACACGGAACAACGAAAGCGGCAGCCAAAACGGCCTCGTCGTTTCCAGGGCCCACGAAGAGGACTTACCAGGTAGTTCCCAACCAGCTCCAGAGGCCGCCGTCCGGGGAACCCTGCGGATCCCTTTGGGGAGTGCCCTGAGGGCAGCTGGATCAGCGCCCCCCCCCGTCTAATTGCACCTTCGGGGGGACCTTGCCTGTCTCGGCGGCGCGCCGAGGGGGGGCAGGGTGAGGGGGGATGGCTTCTCAGAAGGCGGGGTGCTTCTTGGAAGCCCTCCGTGGGCTTCCAAGAGGCCTCCCGCCTTCTACCCAGCCCTCCCCCGCTCGCCCTGCCCTCCTCGGCGCGTCGCCAACAGTCCCAGTAATGACGGTGTCTTATTGTTGTCGACACGGTTTCGACGCGGGCCCCACGTGGATTCGACGTGGATTCGACGCGGGTCGACGCGTTCGACGTGGATTCGATTCGGCGCAGACAGCGGCGCGATGGGGCAGCAGACAGGGCCCCTTACGATGCAGCAGAACCCGAGAAAGCAGACAATTGCAAGCCATGCCTGTGCGAGTTACAGTGGGAGGGTGGGTTCGCCTCGAAATTTTGGTCGGAACGCACGCCGGGAGAGGTCCAGGGAGTAGCGGTATCCGCACCTGTTGGTCTCCTCACGTCTGTTGCGCGTAAGGCTGACTCTTCGCCAGAGTGACCTCTGGTGATCTTTGGCGCGGGCCCACCGAGGTCCCGCCAGCACTGGCTGGCGCCTCTGGATTGCGTCGATGTGGCCCCCCCCGCTGTCCCCTATGAGGCGGCCGAGGGGGGGGTCTTGGCGCGCGGCTCTAGAGGCCGCGCACCCAACGTCACTCTTGCCTAGGGCCACCCCTACCTGCAGCTGCGAATGGGAGTTGTGAGGAGGGAGCTCGGAGGTACCGAGCTGCTCAGATGCGCGCCCAAGGTCCCCGACCGCGCTCTGCTGAGGGAAAGACACCACGTGCTCCTTCACCAGGAGGGGACTCCTCCTCCTCTCCCTCTTCCTCTGTTTCTTCTTCTTCTTCCTCCTCCTCCTCCTCCTCCTCCTCCTCCTCTTCCTCCTCCCCCTCCCCCTCCCCCTCCCCCTCCCCCTTCCCCCTCCGAGGAGGAGGAGGAGGAGGAGGAGGAGGAGGAGGAGGAGGGGGGAGGAGAAGGCGGGGGGAGGTGCTTCCTGCTCCTGCCGGGCGCCAGGCCGTGGCCCCCGCGGAGCCCGAGGGTGCAGGCACTGCAGCAGCAGCAGCGGCGGGGGCGCCGAAAGGGGGCTCGGCTGGTCTCGGTCCAGGCTTCCAAAAGTCTGGCGATCGCAAACATGGATCAAGGGGGTCCTCCTCCTCCTCCTCCCTCCTCCTCCTCCTCCTCTCCTGTCCCCTCCTCCTCCTCCTCCTCCTCCTCCTCCTCCTCCTCCTCCTCCTCCTCCTCCTCCTCCTCTCCTCCTCCTCCTCCTCCTCCTCCTCCTCCTCCCAATCTCCTAGGTTCCTCGCGTCCCAGAACTCAGGCGATCGCAAACATGGATCAAGGGGGCGTGGATTAGCGACGGGTCCCGTTTCCACGGAAGATCGCGGATTCCCGCGGCCAGAGGAGGACTGGCCGCATTTTGGGGAGGGCACTTCCCCCGATCCGTGGATTTGGCGACCGCGCCAGGTCCATGGATCGCTAATCCATGTTTGCGCGCCCCTGAGTCCAGGCTTCCAAAACGGCGGCCCGAGTAGAGGATGCACGTTCAGGATGCAAGGGCCGTGGACGCCCATTTCGAAGCTTTCCGAGCGGGGCGCGGCCAGCGAAAATGGTCGAGGGTGGGCCGAGGAGGTAAGGATGCAAGGGTGTCGTTGGGAAGGTTGCCCATCCTTGCTATGCGTAAGTCGGGCCTGTCCCCCTCAAGGGGGAATCTTCAAAAATGGTAGAAACATAGTCGGTTGACGATTCTTGAAATATTTTTTATCATGTTGGGATATTGTTTGACTATTTGAATTTTTCTTCCAAAATCCGCCTATAGGAGGACAGGCCTGACTTTGTGCTATGCGGGTTGACTGCAGATGGGGTCGGCGCACCTCGCCAACATCGCCGATTCATTGGCAATGCTGCTCCGTCGGTGTGGAGCCCACTGTCCTTCGCGCGGACGTCGCCGATGCATCGCCGACGTCGCTGATGCATCGCCGATGCGTCGGCGATGCATCTCAAGCAGTGGCGAAGCGTCTGGGCTCGCCTATAGGTCTACCAAATAATGTTATAAGAGCTTGTTGTTGTTCACGAGATGTTCTTAGAACATGTTTGGCTGTGGCTGTCTTGTTTTCACACATCGCGTTCATGTTTTAAGAACATTTTTTTGTTATTATAATATTTTTGGGTTCAACGAACACTTCGTGGTAGGACTATAGGAATGCTGGGACGGTCGGTCCCTGCTCAAGCATCGGCGATTCGGCGCAACCCTCGGGAAGATCTGCTCGGACCCCATGTGGGGTGGCTTCGCTCAGGGTAGGGGGGACATTGTGGCCTGAGGAGGTTGGATGCTTGGAGGGGGTGGGTTCGGTGGGCGTGGGGGTTCCCGACCGGGCCGTCGGGCAGTGTGGCATGGGGGGGATGGGATGCTCATTGAGCAGTCTGGAGTACGGAAAAATGGTGCCGATGTTTGGCAGCAGTCCCTGCCCATTTTTTGACTGCATTCGCTGTCGGTGCTGCCGCGGTCGCCTGGCCAACAGCGACCACTGTCGGTCTTGGACAACTTTTGCTGCTGGTCCTATTGCACCCACCGTTTCTGGATGCATGTCTGGCGTTTATGTCCGCTCCCAGACCTTCAGTGTCGTGGCCTTTCCGGTGCTGGTGCTCCGCGGAGGCCTCGGCTCCCTCCCAGGGACCGCCCCAGCTTTCGGAGGCGCGCTTCGGCGGTCCCGGGAGGAGAGCCTCCGGGAGGCCCGAGGCCGCGCAGATTTCTCCGGCCTCGGGTTCTGGCCGAAGTCGCCGAGAGATGGAGCGTCCGGGTGCCCGCGGCAAGCCCCGTGCCAGCGGAGCAGCGCGGCAGGCAGGAGATCTGTCTCAAGACCCGCTCCATGTCGGGCGGGTTGCGGAGCTGGAGCGGGTCTTGGGCGCCCCCTCTCTGACCACAGCCTCGTTCTCCTCTTGCCTCCTCATCGCTCCTCATCCTCCCGTTCCCTCTGTTCCCCCCCCTGCAGGCACAACAAAGAGTACGCGACCCTCCTCCAAGCATGTAGGGGACATGCAAACATCTGTGCTTCCTTGGGGCCTCCTGGGCGTTCTCTTGGAGCCCTGTTGGGCCATCTTGAGGCCCCCTGGGGCTTACCTTGGGCCGTCTCGGTGGTTGTGAGGCCGTCTTTGGATTGATGCCGGCCGTCTTCGGGGCATCGGGGTGCTCTTTGGGCTGTCTTGGAGCAGTCTGGAAGCCCCCAAAGCGCAAATGCTGGGGAGCAAAGCCCAGGTGGGTGGCATCCATCGGAGGCTGCTACAGTCAGGATCGGGGTAGGCGCATACCTGGCGCCCTCCTGACTGCAGGACCGATCCGGGGCCCGGACCTTTCGGCCGCCCCTCGCGGCAGCAGCGACAGCTCCTGCGGCAGCCCCGTGGCCGGGCCGGAGCGGCTCTGGGTGAAGCAGGCGCGCGGGCCCGCCCTCTCGCCAGTACGGTCGAAGTGGGCATGGAAAGAGTGGTCACGGCTGCCAGCAGCATTTCCTACTCCTTCTGAATAGGGCTCGCCGTCGGCGTCGCCGCAGACGGTGTCCACTCGAGACAGAAGGCCGCCTGCCCAACTGCGGCCGCTGTCACATTTGGACAGCATCTGTTGCCGGGCATCGTACCCATTTTCTATTCTCTCCGCATCCATTTCGGGCGCCCAGGCTCGCGTACCGCCGCCGGCGCCGACGTCGACCCAGAGCGACGAGCACAGCCCACATCCACCGGTCGTCGAGAGTGCGTATTGAGGCCTCCCAGATGGGGTCGGAGAAGATGGGGTCGGAGGATCGCGCCGCATCGCCGATGCACCAGCCACGTGGCTCGAGGTCGAGCCCGATTTTCTCCCCACCGACGTATCGCCGATGCATCGTCGATGCGGCGCGATCCTCCGATCCCATCTACTCAGACCCCGCCTGGGAGACCTCTAACGAAGACGTTGCTCTAAACAGCTTGTCTTTGCGATTTGTGTATCTAGTGGCCTATGGCCCATCCAGCCTCTGTGCCTGGGCTGTGGGTCATACGTCTATAGGATGTTTCTTGGTATGTCGCGGGAGGCCTCTCGGGGGCCTCTTGGGAGTCGTTTGAGGCCTCTCTGGGGCCGTTTTGGTGCCTCTTGGGCCGTCTTCGGGGCCTCTAGGGGGTCTCTTGGGGCCCCCTTGGGTGCCCCTTGGGGCCCCCTCGGGGCCTCTTGGTGGCCTCTTGGAGCGGATGACTCGGATGGTCGGTTCGTGTTCCCACTCTTGGGCCCTTCTTGGGGCTGTCTTTGGGACGTCTGAACCGCCTCTGGAGAGCCCTCTTGGGCCGTGTTGGGTCCCTCCTGGGGGCCTCTTGCTGGGCTGTCTTGGGGCGGTCCTGGGGGCCTCTTAGGCTGTCTTGGAGCTCCGAGAGCTCGAAAAGTCGAGGGCCCCCAAATCATTGAAACACGAATGGGAACTCACTGATTTTGGCCTTTCGGGACCCTCTGGGGAAGACTCTTGGGGCTCTCTTGGGGCGTCTCGGAAGCCTCTTGCGCCGTCTTGGAACCATCTTGGGCGTCTTGGGCCGATTGTTCGGCGACCTGGGTCCTCTTGGACCCTCTTCTGGCCCTCTTGGAGCCATCGTGGCCTGTCTTGGGGCCCTTTGGTTCCGAAGAAGTCAGCTGGCAAGCAGCCCCCAGCTCCGGGAGATTTGACAATTTTGGGTCCGGGCTCCTTAGAGACTACTCAGGATTGAGGACGGAGGATTAAAGGATTAGGCAAAGGACCTTAGGACACGCTCACTCCGTGCCCATACTGTTTGTGTGTACAAATATATACACACATACACACATATATATATATATACATCTATATATATAGATAGATACATATTACCTAACAGCGTAGTCTGATAGGTTTCTAGTTGACTCAAAAGAGCTCACAGATCACTCCACAGGGGGGTCCGGGCAGGCGTTGGGAGTTGCCGGCCGGGCCTGTGCCGGGCTCGTTTTTCACCAACAGTCACACACTTCGTGCTCGTCGACCTCTCAGAACCCCATTCCCAGGCCACATTCTGAATAACCGGATGCAACAGTCACACACTTCGTGCTCTTCGACCTCCCAGAACTCCATTCCCGGGCCACATTCTGAATGCCCGGAGCCAACTGTAGGCCACTTCGTGCTCTTCGACTTCCCAGAACTCCATTCCCGGGCCACATTTTGGATGCCCGGAGCCAACTGTAGGCCACTTCGTGGTCTTCGAGTTCCCAGAACTCCATTCCCGGGCCACATTTTGGATGCCCGGAGCCAACTGTAGGCCACTTCGTGGTCTTCGAGTTCCCAGAACTCCATTCCTGGGCATGATTTTGAATGCCCGGAGCCAACTGTAGGCCACTTCGTGTTCTTCGAGTTCCCAGAACTCCATTCCCGGGCCACATTTTGAATGCTGAGGCAGGCTGATGCTGAGGCTGAGGCAGGCTGAGGCTGAGGCAGGCTGAGGCTGAGGCTGAGGCTGAGGCTGAGGCTGAGGCTGAGGCCTGAGGCTGAGGCTGAGGCTGAGGCTGAGGCTGATGAGGCAGGCTGAGGCTGAGGCTGAGGCTGATGCAGGCTGAGGCTGAGGCAGCCTGAGGCTGAGGCTGAGGCTGAGGCTGAGGCTGAGGCTGAGGCAGGCTGAGGCTGAGGCTGAGGCAGAGGCTGAGGCAGAGGCTGAGCTGAGGCAGGCTGAGGCAGGCTGTGACTGTGACTACTGCGACTGTCATACGACTACTGCGATTCTACAACTCTGAATCTTAAGGGGAATGCTTCCAGATATGCGCCTACACATCGCTGTTAGGTTGCTTTGCCGGGATAAACTATGTTTTCTAAGGGACCAGGATGCGTACTGCCAGATGCGGAATAGGTCGGGCGACGTTGTGTTCCATTGTCTCCCGCTGTCTCCCGTTTCGTCCCGTGGCTTCCCGTGGCCTCTCGTTGCCTCTCGTGGCTTCCCGTGGCCTCCCTTTGCAATTCCTGTCCCAATTCTATCCAGATCCCTAGCCCGACTCCTATCCTTATTCCTATATCAATTTACACCCCTAGACCTATATCCGTACCCCCATCCGAGCCCCTATCTTTCTTCTCGCGCCCCACCATCGTGGCCCCCAATCGCCCGCTGTATTCGTGTAGAGCGGTTTGGGGCATTTTGCCGTAAGGGTATCATTTTCGATTGCCAGATCCAAGTATAATTCTTCACGCTTCGCTTATCCCCACCAGCCCATCTCAAAACAGCAATTCTAGCGAAGCATGCCGACAGTCGTGTTTTTCAGGCGTGTTTCCGCCTGCCCCCGCATATCTCCCCTGTTCCTCCTTCCTCCCGCCTCCTTGTACATCCTCCTTGTGGTGGGAGCGGGAGAAGGACGAGGCGGAGGAGGAGGGAGAGAAAGCGCTCCTCGTGGTTTGAGTCGTTTGGGGTTTCTCGTCCTGGTGTGAGTCGTTCGGGCCCTTCTTCCTGGTGTGAGTCGTTCGGGCTCTTCGTGGTGTGAGTCGTTCGGGCTCTTCGTCCTGGTGTGAGTCGTTCGGGCTTCTCGTGGTGTGAGTTGTTCGGGCCCCTCGTCCTGGTGTGAGTCGTTCGGGCCCCTCCTCCTGCCCGTCCAGAAACGACGCCCAGGCGAGTAGAGGGTCGTCCTGATGGGCTTTTCGGCGTCTTGGGTGCCTCGGGGGGGCCTCTTTGGGCCGTTTGGGATCCTCTTGGGGGCCTCCTGGGGGCCTCTTGGGGCCATCTTGGGGCCTCTTGGTGCCTCCTGGGCGCTTCTTGGGGCCATCTTGGAGGGAATCGATCAAAGAAGAGGGGAGCTTTAATTAGCGCTGCCCCCTTAGAAGGCCAAAATGGGGCCAAAACCGTGGTAAAATCAATGATTCTGGCTTGAAAGAAGAGGGGAGCTTTAACTAGCGCTGCCCCCTCAGAAGGCCAAAATGGGGCCAAAACCGTAGTAAAATCAATGATTTTGGCTTCGAACAAGAGGGGAGCATTTTTCTGCCTCCCCCCGTCGGGGCAAGAATCCTCGTGAGGGGTGTCGTTTTTTAGCCCTCCCAGGAGTCGAAAAAGACCCCTCCAACCACCCGCGGGGCGCCCTCTCCAGGCCCAGGGGGAGGGGGTAGGGGGAGGGGTAAACCCCTCCCCGAAGGGGAAGAAGGGGGTTGAGAACAGAGCGGGCTCTCTAAACCACTCACGCCCAAAGGGCTGGTGGGATTTAGGTGCCTTCCTATTTCGAGGATCGAGCTGTTGATCACATTCATTCCCTCCTCTTCAGGCGCGGGCGGAGGTCCAATACACCTCCGACACCTCTTCGGTGTTGTTGTTTCTGTCCATTTTTCTTCCGACCGGTCGATGTCCATGCTGTTGCTGTTTGGATAAATTACCACACCCGATCCGGCGGACACGTTTCGCGCGGGGCATCCCCAGAGAATTCCAAAGGGGGTTGGGGGAGGGGGTTCTCCAGGAGGGGTCCCCCGGGGGCTTCCTCCTACCCCCTGTTTTTACGAGGTTCGGAGGCCCCTGGGGGGCTCTCTGGAAAACCCCCTCCCCAAAAATCCCTCTTTGGAGCCCTCCGGCATCCGCTCAAAGCCGTGCCCGGGGGGTCGCGGCCAGCGAGTCTACAGACCGCAAGGCTGTGGATCTGGATGTGCGTCCCGCCCGCGAGTCGGCGTCGGCGTCGGCGTCGACGGCGTCGGCCTCGACGACGGCGACGTCGCCGTCGGAATCTATACGTCAGCGGCGCCGCCGCCGTCGTGGTCGCCGCCCCACGTCGTCGGTGTCGTCGTCGGCGGCGGCGTCCAGGCGGGCCGCCTGCACCGCCAGCAGGCGCGGCGGCGCAGGTCCGCCGAGGGCCGCCCCGCGCGGCGGCGGGGAGGCCTGGACGCCGGCTACGCGCTGCGGGAGCGGCTGGGCGGCGGGGGCTACAGCTCGGTGTCCCGGTGCACGCACCTGGCCAGCGGGGAGGAGCCAGCGGGGTCCCTGGCGAGGCGATCCCCCGGATGGCGGTGTCGAGGCCGGCCGGCCTCGAATTGCCATCCGATGCCGCTCTCCCGACGACGCTCTCCGCGGCCCGACGACGCCTGCCCGGCGCCCGACGCCGCCTCGGCGTTGCCGTGCGTTCTGGTGCGGGCGACCCGACTCGGTTTCGGCTCCGTGCCGATGGCGGTCGGATTCGATGCGCACTCCGATGCGGTCCGATTTGCCGACTAGGTAGATGCTGACTGCTCCTGGCCCGCGGGATCCAAGGAGGCTCTTGCACTTTCCCGTCCCGCGGAGCCGTGGGCGGGCCCCGGGGGCCGTCAGAGACGGAAGTGTCCGGGGTGAGCAATTGCACCAGACGGGCCCCGGGTCGGGTGCAGGGACAGGGTTTCAGCGGATTTGGCCCCGTCCGCTCCTCTTGATCGATCTTCTTGGGCCCCACCCAGTTCAGATCCCCCAAGCTGCCTCCGACCACACAGGGTCCGGTCAGCCTTCGGGTCGGCAGTGTCCCTCCAGGTGATGACCTGGATCTGCGACCACTTGCGGACTCTACCCCTACGGGTGCAGTCGACACTGGGGTATCTGGCCCCCCCGCTGGGGTTCACCTGGCTGCCGACGCCCTTCAAATTCTGAGCCCCCGCTGGTTTTTCAGAGATTTGACGGGGAGGTTTTGCACGTGGTTGCCTGCAGGAGGCCCATGTACTGACTCGAGTCATTGTCTTGGCATCGCTCGGACGTGTGCATTTTTCCTTCGGCGAGGACCATCGAGGAGCATCCTTGATCATTTGGCAAAAAAAACCACGCACGAAGCCGAAAAAAGCACAGGGAATGGACGTACGAGCGATGGCGAGTTGTGGCCTCGAGGCGGCACTTCCGCGGCTGATTGGCCAGGTCGGCGCTCGGGCAGCCCCGGTCGCACGCGGGCGACGTTCTGGGAGCCCAGCGCCGACCTGTTTGCGTTGCCGTGCTCGGACGTGTGCATGTTTCCCTTGGCGAGGACCATCATCGAGGAGCATCCTTGATCATGAAGTACTCCGGATTTTGTAATAAAGGGAGGTGGGTCTCATTTCGGGGGGGGTCTCTTCCAGGCTATCTTGGAGGGCCTGGGGGGTCTGAGGACGACGTTTTGGAGGGTTCTCCCACGGGGGAGGTCTGAAATGGCTTGTCTTGGAGGGTCCAGACCCCCTCCCTTTTATTACGAAATCTTGAGTAAAACAGCCACGCGCGAAACCGAACAAAAACACAGGGAATGGACGTCCGAGCGATGGCCAGCTGCTGCTCCCCACCAGAGGCGATGTCGTCGCCCTGAGGGACGCGGGTCCTGGATGGGGAAGCGGGTCCTGGAGGTTTTTGGTCGTCTTTGGCCGCTGGGGGCCTCCCCGGGCCCCAGGGCCGTCAATCATCGTGCTCGTGATGACGAGACCTGCTCCCATGGGAAGGCCCCGGGGTTCAGGGCACGTTTTCCTCTCAGGACCGCTCTGGACCTCTGGCGCCATTATGAGTGAATCCACGGGCTCATCTACACCCAGCGACGCAGCACGCCTCAGGCCAGGCACCGAAGCCCCTGACCTGGCTATATAATTAGCACCGACGCCGCGGCCCAAAAAGCAGGGCGGGGGGCGCTCAGGATCATGGGCGCGACCCAGTCCGGGAGGTCTGAGTGAATCCACGGGCTCACCTACGCCCAACGACGCAACACGCCTCAGGCCAGGCACCGAAGCCCACGGCCTGGCTATATAATTAGCAGGGCCCGTAGAACACCTCGATAAACCTTCCCCCGTAAAGACAACCTGATCGTAGAGCATCGTTGCAGCCTCAACCCAATTGGACTCGAAAAGCCCCCACACACACGATGCACATAGTTCTCACGATTGGTCATGCACATCACGCATGAACACGTGTCGTAGGCACACCTCGGAGAAAGAGCTACACGAACCAGTACTGCATGACCCCGCCGCCCTCCCCCCCATGTATCGCCCCCCCATGAAGCAACTCCTAAGGATCGCGCCACATCGCCGATGTATCGGCGGCGGCGCGCCGCGGTCTAGTCGCCACTGCATCGGCGCGATCCTCCGACCCCATCTGGTTGCTCGGGCCGCATATGTAGCTAGTCGGCGTCCAGAGGAGCGGGCCCTGAAGAGCGTCGACAAGAGGAGGGTGCCGAGGGCGGGCGGGGCCCAGCAGGAGGTCGAGATCATGAGGTCCCTCGGCGAAGGTGGACGAGGACGAACGGCAGATCGGCACGACCCGCGGAGGTCCGCAGAGACTGCCCGGGTCCGCGCTTACGGCGCCCCTCGGCGCCGTCTGTCCCTGGCGCGATGGGCGCATCAGAGGCGGCGCCGCAGGCGCTGCCCGAGGGGCGTGGCCTCCGAAGCCCGCTCGACCCCCCGGCAGACTCGGCTGTGCCGCTTCCGGGGCCCTCCCCGAAGGCGGCGCACGCGCGCACGTGGTGAGGCTCTACGAGGCCTTCGAGGATTCCAAGTGCGTCCACATCTCGGCGGCGCGCCTGGTTGGGGGGGGGGGAGGTCAGAGGGGGCGGGCCTTCGCAGAAGGCTCGGCAGGCTTCCGACTGAGAAGGCCTGACCCCCCTCACCAGCGCTATGGTCTCGGTACACAGTTCGAGACGACGTCTAGTGTAGGCGATGCGTTTCGGGAGCTCTTACCCCGCTTCGTCAGGCATTGGCCCGAAGGGCTGCCCCGCGGCGCACGCACACGACAACTACGTGCATGACTAGGAAACCTGCGAGTGCGACTGATGGCACATCTGGGAATTAATGAGGCAGCGATGATTCACACAGAAGTGCCATAATACGTGCCGCTGTGTGACCCCCCTGGGCGCGCCGCCGAACATCGTCATGGAGCTCTGCCGGGGGGGTGAGCTCTCTCGGCACATCGCCCACTCGGGCGGGCGCGGGCTGCCGGAGCGCCTCGCCGCCGCCGCCATTCGGGCGTCGCGTAGTGGGGGGGCGATGCGATGGGGGGGCTCAAGAAGCCCCCCTCTCCTCCCCCCTCCTGCCCGGGCAGTGCTTGCATGGTGGAGGCCCCTCCCCACTAGTTTGGAGGTTGGCAGCTCTCTTCGTCCGAGCTGAACCTCATAGCCTTTCCTCGCCCTGCGTCTCGACGTAGATACCATGATACAAACGACGGGGAGGGGTGAAGAGAGGTACATCTATTGTGCTCTAAAGGGACCCTAGGGGGGCCCCAGAAGGGCAAGAAAGATGGGCGCCTCTCCCCCACCCCTGTTCATCGCCCCCCTATGAAGCAACGCCCGAGCAATGCGGCAGGCGGCCGCCGCCGTGGAGTTCCTGCACTCCCTAAGGTTTGCGCACCGTGACCTGAAGCCGAGCAACATGATGCTGACAGAGCACGGCGACCTGGAGCCAGGGGATCGGCAATGTACTCCAGGCCTGGAGTCGTCTGAGGTGGCGCAGCATTGGTCCTGGCGAGCAGGAAGGGCGGGCAGGCTCGAGGTGCTGGGTTCGGAAAGGTTGTTTGCCTGTTTCGGCCTCCTGGGGCCGTTTTCGAAGCCGGGAGCTGTGCAAAAAAAGGACCTGGTGCGAAACGCTGCGCCAGATGGACCCTGGGAGCGTTCTGGGCACCGATTTTGATAGGATTTGGCCTCATCCCCCCGCCTGACCGATTTTCTCTGGGCCCAACCAGCTCAGACCTCCCGGCTCCCGCCCGCCTCCTCGCGCCGCATCGCCGATGCATCACGCGGTAGATGGTGTCGGAGGATCGCCCCGCACCGCCGATGCATCGACGATGTGGAGCCGGGTTCTTTCCACTCAAGCGGCCCCGCTGCATCGGCGATGCATTGGCGGTGCGGCGCGATGCCCCGACCCCATCTGCTCGGACCCTGCTTTGGGGGCCTCAAGGTGTACGGAGGCCACAACTCTGCGCTCGGCGACAAGCTAAGGCCGCCTACGATCCGATTCGATGCGACTCGGTTCGCCAGCCGGGGCTGCGATTCCGATTCGATTCGATTCGATTCGAATCGGCTCGATTCACCGACCCAGGGCCAGCCAGTGCCAGGCGCAGCGATCCGATCTCGATTCGATTCGGGACGATTCGCTGGCGATGCGACCCGTCTACGATCCGATCCGACTTAGCGATTCGATCCAGCGCAGGCCTGCAAGCTTGGGCGGCCCCGGGCGGGTACTCCCCGCTAGCGGGGTCGACCGTGCCAAGTCGGCATGCCGTGCTGTGTGTTGGTGGCGACCTGGTGGCGACTTGGTGGCGTGGGCGGGGCGGCGCCCCCACCCGCTCCCCGCAGCTTACCGTTAACTCGGAGTGCCGGTGCAGGGCCTGCTTCGATCCGTTCTGAGATCGGTTTCCGCCAGCCTAATCTGGTTCGGTTCCGATGGTCCGACGATCCGATGTGATTCGATGCTCGCATGGCGCTGTTGTGCATCCTGGCGCGTCCGACTCGATTCGACTCCGACTCCGTGACGATGCGGCCCGGCTCGGCGCACGTGCCAGTCTGACCTTGATTCCTGGCTCGGCGTTGGCAGCTTCTGCCGCGATGTCGCTGCTTCCTCTCCCGGGGGTGCCTTTGTGTCCAGGGGTCCCGGGGCGGATCGGCGAGGAACCCGGAGGAGGCCCAGCGGGACCCCCTTCTCTCAGGAGCGAAAGAAACACGCACACTTACAATAATCCGCATTGGTTTCGAAAGTGCGCTTTGCGCGAACGTTCGTCACATGAGGCTGAATTCGCGGACTGGGGGGCCGGACTCATGTACGTGGCTGGGCGCTGGCCTCCTCCTTCTCGGGCCCCGAGGAGGACGCGACGCTGAAACTGATCGATTTCGGCCTCTCCCGCCGCTTCGAGGCGGGCGCCCCGATGAGAACTCTGGCGTGCACGCCGCAGTACGTGGCGCCGGAGGTGCTGTCCGGGGCGTGACCTCGGGAGGAGGTCCAGGGCAACGATAGGGGGGACGGGCAGAAGGGGGGTGACGCATCGACCCCCGATCGCCCATTGATCGCCGATAGGGACCCGCTAATGGGCCCCAACCTGCCCAGGAGCGTGCGGATTCGCCATCGGGGGCCTCTCGGCGATCTATCGGCGATGTATCGCCGATTCGAAGTTGATGTTTCGCCCCCTATGCCAGCCCCCCCTAATTATCGTTGCCCCCCAGGAGGAGGAGGAGGAGGAGGAGGAGGAAGAGGAGGAGTAGGAGGAGGAGGAGGAGGAGGAGGAGGAGGAGGAGGAGGAGGAGGGAGGAGGAGGAAGGGGATTCATTCTTCGTTGGGGATTCTAGGGGGGCCCTCCTCGCCACCCACACTGGCCTCGTGTGGGCCCAGGGATCCACCAGTGCCAAGCAGGCTACGTCTGGCCGACTGGGGGGCCGCCCCCGAGGCAGGAAGGGGCTCCCCTGCTTGCACGCCCGAGCTTGGACATGTTAGGCTGGCACGGGTGCTCAGGATGGGCTCTGGCTTGTGGGCCGTTCCTCAGACGCAACCCTCGGAAGCAATCAGTACCCCGCCCCCCCCTCGAACAGAGCGACCCGCGCCAGCGGCCAGCGGGGGCGCGCCGCCCCACCAGAGGCGGCGACCCCAAGCTCCTCTGCGAGGTCGCCGACCAGCAGAGGAGCCGCACAGCTCCTACCAGAGCACATGCCGAAACTTGTTGCCCCGCCTCAGGCCCGGGCGGCAAACGGGAGAGCGGAGCAGCCGAAAGGCAAACGAATCTCCGAATGGAGAAGGACGCGGCTTGTGAGAATCTTCCTCCCCAGCCAAGGGTAGGGATAATGGGGGAATTTCAACGGTTCTGGCACCGGGGCTGGGGCGGAAGCGGTATCTCCCGCAGAATATTCTTCTTCATCTGTCCCACGAGCGATCTCGACAGTCGCTCACAGTGAAGCGAACACAGATCCAGCTGCTGTACTTCAAGGCTCCGCTTTCTTTCTTTGTGATGTCATTGCGTTGCTCAGCCAGATAGCAAGTGGATCGCAAGTGTGTCAGTCAGTCAGTCACTCTTTTGTCCCACTCGTCCCACGGGGGCCTCCGGGGTCCCCGCAGGTCTTCCCGACTGGTCACCAATTGGTTGCCAGTTTGCTGTCTTACCGCCGTGGAGGCAATTCCCGATTGGTCCCTAAGTGGTTACCAGTTCGGTTTCTCATGACCCTGGCGGCAATTCCCGATTGGTCACCACTTGGTTGCCAATTATTTTTTGCACCACCCTGGAGGGGATTCCCGGTTGGTTCCCAGTTGGTCTTATCTTGACCTTTCGACGTTTCTCGTTTGGCCAAATCCCATGCGAGCGGCGAACGCATGATTTCCCCGACCCTCCCTCGGTTGGGTTCTCGAGTTGAACAGAGCAGCGGGGTCTCCACCTTCTCCTCGTGCTCCTCCTCCGCCTCGCCCCCCCCGCTCTCATCTCGGCTCTCTCCTCTCGCATTTCTTTGAGGGGGCCGCGAAGTGCGAAGCTGTCGCCACTTTCGAGGGCCGCTGGGAAAGCTCGCGCACCGCGCGAATCCAAACGGGACCTCGCCATTCTTGGGGGGCTGCAATGTGTGAGCTTATCGCCACTTTCGACGGTCGCTGGGGGAGCCAACACAGTGGGGCCGCACGCAGATCCAAACAGGACCTCGCCATCCTTCGGGGGCTGACGCGAGTGAGCCTGTCGCCACTTCTCGAGGGGGGCTGCTGGGGGAGTCAGCGCAGTGGGGCCACTCGCAGATCCAAACGGAACCTCGCCTTCCCTGGGTGTTGCGACGTGTGAAACTCACCACTTTAGAGGGTTGCTGAGGGGGCCAGGGGACCTCGCCTTCCCTGGGGGAGGAGCTCCGAAGTCTGAAATTGTCGCCAGTTTCGACGGCTGCTGGATAGGGGGGGGGGGGGGGCAACACAGCGGGGTCCGACGCAGACTTCGAGGACCTCTCCATCCCTGGGGAAGGCTGGGAAGTGTGAGCGCGTCGCAAATTTCAGGCATGCTGGGGTGAGCAACGCAGTGGGGCCCAACGCAGATCCGGAGGAGGGCTGGGGGAGGAGGAGAGGTAAGGGGAGAATGAAAAGGAGGCGGGGGAAAGACAAATAAAGAGGACGAGGAGGAGGAAGACAGGGAAGAGGAGGAGGACGACGACGAGCAGGTGTTGAGCATTCCGGCGTGGAATAGCGCGTCACTTCATTGTGTGCAAGGTTTTCCGCCTGTGTAACCTTGCCCGCGCTCCATCATCTCGCTGTTTCTGCCGAGGCGTTTGTCCTTCCACCCCGATGTATTCCTGTTGCTTGTCCTTCCCCTTTCAAGAACTCCTGGCCTTTTGTACCTCTATTATGCGAGCCGGCCACGCACACTCGCACGATATAGATATCCGCCACGCGCTGCCACGCGCTGTCCCTTGCAGCGTTACTGTCGCACTATTGCAGTTTATTTCACCCCTTGGTGCCGATGCGTCTGGGTATGCCGCAGGGTGTTTGCATTTAGTCGCTTCGCTCATTCCGCCGACCCCGGGGCCCTCTTTAGGGCCTCTTGGGGGCTTTTTGGGGACATTTTGGGGATCTCTTGGGGCCCCTTGGCGGCGTTTTGGGGGCCCCCAGGGCCTCTTGGGGGGCTCTGAGGGGCCTCGTGGGGCGCGAAGGGGGGGTGGTCGATTGCGGCCCCCCCCCATCGGAGGCCACGATCATTCTGAGGGGTGTCGAAAAGTGGCCCTCCCTTGGAATGCTCTGGGGGGACCTGTCCGGGGCCTGGCTGGGGTACTTTTCGCCTGGGGGCCCCAGGGGCCGTTCCGTGCGCGCGAACAAAAAAAATGTTAACCAATTGCCGGAGATCTTAGCACGCCTGTGGCCCGCTGGGCCGGCGCATTTCAAACAATGTCTTGGTTGAGTTCGCGTTTTGCATAGAGCAGTGGGGTCTCCACCTTCTCCTCATCCTCCTCGTCGCCCCCATTTTTTGTTTCTTTTCGGATCCCTCTCGCATCCCTGAAGGGGGCCGCGAAGCGTGAAACTGTCGCCATTTTCGATGGTTGCTTGGGGAGCCAGCGCAATGGGGCCACACGCAAACCCAAATGGGACCTCGCTATCGCTGGGGGGCTGCGAAGTGCGAGGCTGTTCCCAGTTTCGACGGCTGTTGGGGGGGCGGCGCAGTGGGACCACACGCAAATCCAAGCGGGACCTCGCCATCTCTGGGGGCTGACACGTGCGAGCCGGTCACCAGCTTCGAGGATTGTTTGGGGAACCCGCACAGTGGTGCCAGTTGCGAACCCAAGCGGGGCCTGTTTTTTTTGGGGGGACGAAATGTGAACCGGTCGCCCTTTTTCGAAGGCTGCGGGGGGGGGGGAGGGCAACGCAATGCGGCAACGTGCAGATCCAAACGGGACCTCGCCATTGCGAAATTGTCGCTATTTTTGAACATCTCTGGGGGGGGCGCAGTGAGAGCCACGCGCAGATCCAAACAGAACCTCGCCGTTCTTTTGGGGCTGCGACGTGTGAAGCTTTCGCTACTTTCGAGGGCTGCTGGGTGAGCCCGCGCACTGGGGCCACCCGCGGACTCAAACGTGACCTCGCCATCCCTGGGGCAGGGGATTGCGAGGTGTGAAATTGTCCCCGCATTCGGGGGCTGGTGGGGGGGCAGCACAGAGGGGCCCATTCGGATCACCAAAAGACCTTGCCATTTTTCCCAACCGTACAGTTGTGTTGGGTCCTCGTTTTGACGAGACGGTCTCCTTCTTCCCTCTTCCCTGCTTTTCGCCCACCCAGTACAGCGTGTCGTGGCCCCATAAGGAGCTCCACCGAAGGTCCCAGTGGGACCGCCCGCATGTGTCAACCAACACCCAGCACAGTCTTTCTGTTGTGCGTTTCGCCCACTCATTACAGCCTTTCGTTGCCCCATATGGAGCCCCTTCGAGGTTCCCAGTGGGACTGCCCGCATGCGTCAACCACCACCCAGCACAGCGCTTCGTGGCCAGACGGGGGGCTCCACCGAAGGTCCCAGTGGCACCGCCCGCATGCGTCCGCCACCACCCAGTACAGCGCTTTGTGGCGCCATACGGGGTCCCACTGGAAGTCTCAGTGGCACCACCCGCATGCGTCAGCCACCGCCCAGTACAGCGTTTGGCCCCGTGGGGAACTCCACCGAAGGTCCCAGTGGGACCGCCCGCATGCGTCAGCCACCACCCAATACAGCGTTTCGTGGCCCCGTGGGGAGCTCCACTGAAGCACCCCAGTGGCGCCGCCCGCATGCGTCGACCACCACTCACTATCGCACTTCGCGGCCCCATTGGTTGGGAGTTCCGCCGAGACCCCAGGGGCACCGCCCGCATGCGTCAGCCCCCGCCCGATACAGCGTTTCGTGGCCCCGTAGGGAGCTCCACTGGCCCACCCGCGTGCGACCCCCACCCAGTACAACGCTTAGTGGTTCCATGTGGAACTCCACCGAAGGCCCCAGTGGCACCGGCCACATGCATCCCCCTAACCGAAGATCCCAGTGGCACCGCCCGCTTGCGTCAGCCACCACCCAGTACAGCGTTTCGTGGCCCCGTATGGGAGCTCCACAGAAAGACCACAGCGGCACCGCCCGCGTGCGTTTCCCTCAACCAGTACAGCGTTTCGTGCCCTCATCGGGAGCTCCAGCGAGGGGCACCGCCCGCATGCGCTAGGCACACCCGATACAGCGTTTCGTGGCCCATAGGTAACCCCACCGAAGGCCCCAGCGGCATCGCCCGCGTGCGTCTCCCCAGTTTTACGGCACGCCCCTCGCGCGCTTCGTGGCCCCATAGGAAGCGCCACCGAAAGCGGCGCCCACAACGCGTTACTCACAACTGCATATGAGGAGGGCTAGGACGAGGACGAGGACAAGGAGGAGGAGGAGGAGGAGGAGGAGACTTTGGGGTGGCTGCGAACTGTGAAGCTGTCACCCTCTTCGAGGGCAGCTGGGGGGGGCGGCGCAGTGGGGCCCCACGCAGATCCAAACGGGACCCCGCCATCCTGAGGGGGGGGGATTGCCGCGTGCGAAAAATTGTTGCCATTCTCGAGGGCTTCTGGGGTGGCCACGGTGTTATATTGTCGCCACTTTCGAGTCGGCCACGCACAGCTCGCACGATATGTACGTCTCTCTCTCTCTCTCTCTCTCTCTCCGTCGTGCACCGTCCCTTGCACTGTTGCCGTCACACGATTTTTGTTGGTTAAGTCGTGGAACCCAATCGTGGCCGAGGCTCGCCGTGGCCAGAAAAGTCCCGTCGTCCGTTACTCTCCGTTCTTTGTGGTAGCACGATGATTCCATCGCGTCAGAGCGTTCCAGACAGTTCCCATAGCGTCCTGGAAGCTTCTGGAGTGGCCGCGGTGCCCGACACCAGGTCCAGGTCCAGAGCGGTCAGAGCGGCGGCGCGAGGGCGCAAAGAAAACCGTGCGCCGAGCATCGCGGGGCACGAGACGCGAAGCTGGGTGATGTAGGAAGAATTGGGCTCAGTGCAGAGGTCCGCGGAGGGATCCAGGAGGGCGCGGAGGCCTCGGGAGGTCCTCGGGGGGGCACGGGGTGTCGCTGGAGAGCGCTTGAAGTCTTTGGACGGGGAGGAGGAGGAGCAGGAGGAGGAGGAGGAGGAGGAGGAGGATGAGAAGGAAGAGGAGGAGGAGGAGGAGGCGAAAAAGGGAAAACATGTATATATACACATATAATGGGAGACAAAGAGAGAGAGAGAGAGAGAGAGAGAGAGAGAGAGAGAAAGAAAGAGAGAGAGAGAGAGAGAGAAAGAGAGAGAGAGAGAGAGAGAGCGAGAGAGAGAGAGAGAACAACACATAATAGAGAGAGAGAGAGGAGGGTGGAGGGAAACGGAGGGAGGAGAAGGAGGAGGGATGAGGCAGGAGGGAGGAGGAGGGATGGAGAAGGGATGGAGGGAGGGACGGGGGAAGGGAGGGAGGGAGGTAAGGAGGGAGAGAGAAGGGATGAGGTAGGGAGGAGGGAGGGGTGAGGGAGGGAGGGAGGGAGGAGGGAGAGAGGGAAGGGGGAGGGATGGACTGCAGGATCCGCTGGAGGAGTCCCGTGGGGAGGAGTCTCCAGGTACACCGAAGCCTGCGACCTCTGGAGCGTCGGCGCCCCGCCCAGTGCGGGCCCCCACGCGGCCGGCGTGTCGCCCGGCCGGGCCCAAGGGTCGGGTGTGGCTAGAAGTACCCCTGGCCCAAGGTACCCCCAGGATTCTCGGGGTGGCCCAGGCGGCCTCCAAGGCACCCCCTCACGAGGCCCAGAGGACCCCAAGGACTCCCAAATGGAGCGGAAAGCTGGGGTCACCTTGGGCCAAGGGCACCTCTAGCAACACCCGACGAGGGGGGTCACCACCTCGTCCCCTTGGAAGTCGAGGAGGCAGGATCGACGAGGTTTTCTGTGGGTTTTTGGATGTCTTTGGGGGTCCAGGGGGGGGTACATATCCCATGTGCAGAAGGGGCCTGCTTCCTGGAGAAGGAGGGGGCGACCCCAGTGGTGATGACCCGCCTTGGCACTGCCCAGAGGTTGTCCCATGTCGAGTGGGCGGGGGGAGGGGGTCAGGGGCAGCGATCGGAGGAGGCGAAAGGCCCGGGGGGCGATACATCGCCCCCCCAATCGCCTACTGATAGCCGAAGAACGTCTGGATAGCCCCGCCCCGCCCAAGAACATGCGGATTCCCCAACGGGGGCCCATCGCTAATCTATCGGCGATGTATCTCTGATTCCATGTCGATGTTCCACCACCCCTGAGCCAGTCCTTCCCCATCGTTGCCGCGCGGGTGGGTCGCGGGCGGGTCGCGGGGGGACGACGACGACGACGACGACGACGACGACGACGACGACGACGACGACGACGACGACGACGACGACGACAACAACAACAACAAACATAATCCCCACACCACGGATCCCCCCTTCGGTCACGCACCCAGAGACAATGAGACCGCTTGGCCCCCTCACTCTGATGAGTATACGTATACGTAGCACCCAGCAGTTGCGGATAAGAGTGAGGGGGCGGCGAGGACGTCGTCAGTGTGCGAGGCTCTGAAGAAGCCTGCCGCAGGCGCCTAACTTTCACACATTATGTAGTGGTCCCGCTGCAGGCGCAGATTCTTTCGTTGAAGCACTGTGGGTGGATCGCGGGGTGGGTCGCGGGTGGGTCGCGGGTGGGTCGCGGGTGGGTCGCAGGTGTGTCGCGGGGTGGGGCGCGAGGGGTGGGGGGTGGATCGCGGTGTGGGTCGCGGGGTGGGGCGCGGGGTGGGGCGCGAGGTGGGTGGCGGGTGGATCGCGGGGTTGGTCGCGGGTTGGGTCGCGGGGTGGGTCGCGGGTGGGTCGCGGGGTGTGTCGCGGGTGGGTCGCGGGTGGGTCGCGGGGTGGGTCGCGGGGTGGGTCGCGGGGTGGGTCGCGGGGTGGGTCGCGTGGCGGGTCGCGGGGTGGGTCGCGGGGTGGGTCGCGGGGTGGGTCGCGGGGTGGGTCGCGGGGTGGGTCGCGGGTGGGTCGCGGGCGGGACGCGGGAGGAACGACGACAACAACAGCAATAACAACAACAACACCACCACCAACAACAACAAGCATAATCCCCACCACGGATCCCAACTTTGGCCACGCACGCAGGGACAATGATTGACCGCTCGGCCCCCTCACTCTGACTATGCTCCCCTTTCCCCTGACGGCGTCCGGAAGATTTCTGGCCCCCCCCCCTGCGCATTATTTTTTACACAGCACAGGATTCCTTGGAACTTGGTTTTCACTTCGGTTTTGTTCCGAAATGTTGCTACCGCTGAAGCGCTGGCCCCATTTGTACGCCTCTGGTTGTTCCAAATCGTGCTCCCGCTGCAGCGCGGGCGTTTTCTGTCCTCCCACATATGCCCGAAAATCTACAAAATGCCCCCCCGAAGAAATCATCGGAAGTGATGACACATTCGGTGTCGATTCGATGATGTTCTGGGCCGTAGAAGCCCTCACTTCACTCACCACTTTAGGGCGCCGCTCTTTCAGCAAGTGTCAAGCGGGAGCCCCGTGCATGCTTTAAGAATTCACTTACCCTTCAAGGAACCTGGTGTCATGCCATGACATGCTGTGCGGTGTTGTGTTCCGCACCGCTGTGCGATACCATGTTTTGCGTTGCAACGCTTTCTGATGCAATGCTTTGCGTTGCAACGCTTTCTGTGGCATGCCACACTCTGACGTGCTCTTTTATGCCATGCCATGCCGTGCGCTACCATGCATCGCGTACCATCTCACGATCATTGCCCTGCTGGACATCAGACTGTGCGAATGGAGAGGACGTCTACGCCATGGTAAAGGATGGGAGGGAAGGGGTGGGACGTCAGATATGACGCGATCGCACCTGGCTTGGCTCAACCCCCTCTGGTTCCTACAGGTTTCCTCGAGGGAGAGCTGTTCACAGCCGCGCGCACGCGACGATGCGACGCCCCCCGAGGCCTGCGGAGTGGAGCTGCCGATTTCAAGAACAACAGCACATTCACGATTATCTTTGGTGGAGATGCGGTAATCATGTGTACACTTCAAGAGTCCAAGAAACCTCTATATTTTGGTATTGGGGAACATGAGCCAAACACTCGTTCTCATTTCAAGATCCAGGCGGCTCCTGGGGATGCCCTAGGCGATCGCCAGAAGGTAAACACAGTCTCGCTGGCTCGCGCCTCGAGACATCGTGGCCTACAGCTGAGGCGTCGTCCTCTACGTGCTGCTGTGCGGATCCCCGCCCTTCCACGGGGACTCCGACGCGCAGGTGTTCGCGCGCGTCAGGAGGCCGTGCTCGCCGCCGCCGGGGGTAGTCACGGGCGGACGCAGCGTCGAGAAGCCATTTGGGGGGGGGCTGGCAAGGGGGGGCCAATGTTTGCCACAGGAAACGCACCCCGAGCCTTCTCTTGGCGCGGTTTCCTCCTTGTCGCTGTAGGGCGTTAATGGTACCTCCCCCTCCTCCCCACCCAGGCTGGGGGCTGGTTGGGTGTGGGAGTGCCCTCTTGCCCACCTGCCAAATTCACCCGAGGACAGGCATAGCACATAGTGAATAATACTCTCGACGCTTCGCGTGACTCCACCAACTCATCCAGAGACGATGCCAAGGCGAGTTGCCCTGATCAGGGATGTGCAGAATCATGCAGTTGAATTCAGGACTGGGGAAACCGTCGAGCCCCAAAAAGGGGAGTATGGAGGAGCATTCGGAGGAGGAGGTGGAGAAGGAGGGGCAGGGGGAGGGGGCGGGACGAGGAGGGAGGAGGATGAGGAATATGTTCATTGAAGGTCCAGGCCCCAGGCCGACCATGTTTGAGTTTGCCCGCATGCACCAAAAGGAAAATTACCCCAACATAAAAGCACACGACACCACATGAGACTACAATGAACTACTAATTGTTTGAACACATAGACGAAGAACGTCAACACAATAACTATGTCCCCGCGAGGGGCCAACGTCGTCAATTGCCGTCGCCGCTGTCGCCGCCGTCGCTGTCGGCGGCGCCGTCACCACCACTGCCGTCGCCGCCGTCTTTGTCGCTGTCGTCCTCTTCGCCTTCGCCGTCAGTCGCCGTCCCCGTCGTCGCCGCCGTCGCCGCCGCCGTTGCTGTCGCCGGTGTCGTCCCAGCAGTTGTTGTCGCTGTCGCCGCCGTCGTCTTCGCCGTCCGCGCCGTTGTTGCTGCCGTCGTCGGCGCTACCGCCGCCGTCATCATCGGCGTTGACGCCGTCGCCGCCGTCGTTGGCGTTGACGTCGCCGCTGCCGGCGGCGCCGTCGCCACCGCTGTTGTCGCCGCCGTGTCAGTCGCTGTCGCCGCCGTGCTCGTCGCCGCTGTGTCGTCGCCTTCGCGGTGGGTCGCCGTCCCGCCATCGTCGCCGTCGCTGCTGTCGCTGGCGTCGCTGGCGCCCGCAGCGCGGAGCCTGGCGGCGCGCGCCACGCGTCGGCCATGCCGACCTCCGCCCAGAGCGCAGGCCCAGGCCGAGGACGTCCTTGTCGTTTCCGTCGTCGGCGTTCTCGTTGCCGCCATCCTCGTCGCCCTCGTCCCCCTCTCGTCCTCCCCGGCCGCCCCCGTCCCAGATCATGCGCGACCGAAAATTTTCGGGCGCGGGTGGGAACGACCGATACCGACTGTTACCGAAAAATTTTCGGTCGCGACCAGTCGCGCCTGGTAACGGTGACAAGCCGATTTCGGGCTCGGTCGGTAACGGCCCTACGAGAAAATTACAGAGCCAAATCTGACAAACGAGCCTTCCACAACCAACCGTTACCGACCGTTACCGACCGTTACCGACCGTTACCGACCGTCGCAGATCGACGACGTACGCTGAGTTAAACTACATCATCATGTACGCGCTCGCGCCCAATACATATACGTTCAGACTTGCTTAGTAAGCATCATACGTCCCTGCAGTCCTACCTACCCACCCACGTATTTACATACATACATGCTTACCCATCCACATATACCCATATATATGTGTATATATATATATATGAATGTATATATATATATATATATATTCGGGTATATGCACATACCCATACTTACGTTCCTGCCTGCCTACCTACCTACATACATACCCACCAACATACCTGCCCACTGCGTACTACACACGTGTATACATTCATACATACTCACAGCACAAATGCATACATCTGCATACCTTGGGCATGCATACTTGGTTTCGTACGCCTTGTCATCCTCCTAATGTGTTGGCTCACGTCCTGCTTCTCCTCCCCTTGTCCCTCCTCCTCCTTCTGCCTTTCTTGGTCCTCTTCCTGCTTACCTCCCTCCTCCTTCTCCTCCTCTTTCTCCTCCTCTCCTCCTCCTCCTCCTTCTCCTCCTCCTCCCCCTCCTCCTCCTCCTCCCCCTAGACTTCCTCGTTCCCCCCCCTTCTGCTCCTCGGGGCGCAGGGCGACGCGCTATTTCTGGAGCTCGTTGGCGGCGCGGGCTGCGCGGCCAGCGCGGGGTTCGGGCGCACCCAGCACGCGCGGGGGGGGACGGATCGGAGGGAGTTCGTCTTCGTCGTCTTCGACGTCACTCTTGCCCTCGCCATTTGCCCTCGTCCTCGTCATCTTGGTCCTCGTCCTCGTCCTCTTCCTTCTCCTCCTCCCCAGGCTCTTTCCCTCTCGTCCCCCATTTTCTCCAACCTCCGTCTCCCGCCCATGTCCTCTTCCTCCTCCTCCTCCTCCTCCTCCTCCTTCCTCTTCCTCCTCTGCCTCCCCCTCGTCCCCCCTCCTCCTCCTCCTCCTCTTCCTCCTCCTCCTCCTCCCCCTCCTCCTCCTTCCCCCGCCCCTGTTTCCCTCGTCGCCCTGCAGAGGGGCAGGGGGAGGGGGGGGGGGCGCGACCGCCAAGGGAGTGGGCTAGGGGGGGGTGCTTTCCAGCGAGGGAACGGTGATCGTGAAATCGCGCGCGTTAGTTTTTTTGCATATCGAAATGCAAAAAAAGCTAAGGTTTTTGTTCGCAATCGAAATCGGCCATCTTAGACACGCGAATGGGGGATGGGCGAGAGAGGGGGGGCGACTGCTGGAACGCCTAATCCAGGCAGCACCGCGTGAACTCGAGGTCCGCCGCCCCGCCGCGGGCAGGCGCGCGGGTGGAGGGGCCAGAAAGGAGGGGGAGGAGGAGGAGGAGGAGGAGGAGGAGGGGGAGGAGGAGGAGGAGGAGGAGGAGGAGGGGGAGGAAGAGGAGGGGAGGAAGAGGAGGGGAAAAGGGGGGAGGAGGATATGGAGAGATGGACCAAGTGAAAATATAGGAGGGCGAGAGGATGAGGCGGAATGGAGGGGAGGAGGAGGAGGAGGGGGAGGAGGAGGAGGGGGAAGAGGGGAGGCAGAGGAGGAAGAGGGGAGGCAGAGGGGAGCAGAGGAGGCAGAGGAGGAGGATGAGGAGATTCCCTTCCAGAATCACCATGTATTTTTTCCTATCATTCCTTCTCCATCCTCCTCGCTCTTCGCCCCTCCTCCTCCTCCTTGGCCATCCCCCCCTCCTCCGCCTCAAGTCCTCCTCCCCTTCCTCTCCCTCCTCCTCCTCCTCCTCCCCCTCGTCCTCCTCCTATTTTTTTCTGAGCCACCACTTCTGTTACCAATGCTAATCGGCGGTTGGGTTGGCGAAGCCAAACTGATGTCTCCCGCACCGAATCCGATCTGCAACTTTCCTACTAACCTGGTTGATCGCTGTTCCCACAGCACACCCACTTCCCACGCGCGTGATGAAGCGCTGGAAATCCTCTGGCTGGTAGCACCAAGTAAAACGAGGATTTACGCACACGGACTGACGCACGAGGTGCCACAGAAAGTGGTGCTTGTTCACCACTGAATATTTGAGCTTCGGCCGCGGTACCAAATTGTACGCCTGATCGGACAAGTATTGGTAGCAAGTAAGATAATCATCCGCCGACTTCCTAAGACGATCACTTTCTGGGCCAGTGAGGAACATGTCACACCCCTCCACGATCTCATAAAGCTTTACCAGGGACTTAAACTGCAGGGCGCGGATCCTGTGGGCATCTGATCCATCGTTGTATTCGTGTGCCAACCTCGCGCACACCTTCACGAGGCCTCGACACTGGGCCGCTTTGACAGCCTTGGCCAGCACGGGAAAGTCCTTATGGGGGGAGTCTGCATCAACCAGGAACAGACCCAACTTGAAAGACCCTAGCCTGTGCGCAACCTCTTCTTCGACGTAAATCTCCTGGATGCGGCGCCATAGGCGCTCCACCCTCTGCGCGCGTGGCCCAGCTTCCTCCTCGAAAATGATTTCGTAAAAAAGGTTAGCAATACTGTGCCCACTCACCCCGATGTCCATGGTGTGCATCCAATCTAATGCCAGAGTATCGGGGGTGACGCCCCACACCTCATACAGAGGGTGGTCGGGTACAAAATGGCGGCGGTGATGCTTCCAGTGGCCTGGAGAGTCACCGCTAAAGTCGTTGAAGGGCCTGGTGCTCTTGTTGCATGTGCATAACCAACAGAATTCATCGGACCCTGCCGCGGGCATGCCTAAATACGATGAATAGAATTCTAAATCTCCGAGCACCGCATACAAAAACCCGCGGTACTTAGTTGCACTATCTGTTAACCATTGCCCTGCCAACCGTTGCCTGGCTGGGTCCAAAGCGCCACCTCTCCAATCCGACCCCTTCGGTAAACCGAAGGCCCCCGCTTGTGGAAGACCCCTCACTGATAAACACTTTCCCTGACCCCCTGATCATGCCTCTTCCTTGCCCGTCCGTCCGGCCGCCCATCGGCAAGGCCGCGTCGCGCGAAGAGGCGGCTCGCAAACTCGCGCCGCGGGTGGCGCCAGCTTAAAAGGAGATGGATTGAGATGGGGGAGACGAGAGAACGACACGACGAACGAAACCACGGGATTAGCATAGCAATGATATTTTTATCTGGGTGTTTACCTGATGCCAGCGAGTTCAGCGACCATTTGATAACATTGAACAGTTCAACGAAAGTGTCTTTCCCATTGTGCTTAGCTGCCTTCGCTCGGGTGCTTAAAGGCCACGACACGAGACTCATGGTCAGGCTCTTGGTCGAGCCCGTTGCGAGAAGCCCCGTCATCGATATAGTTACCAAGGAATCACGCGTGAGAAACTCGGCTCCATCGCCGTGGATCCGCAGAGGTATGCACGTGCTGGCCCTGTCCTTGATTCGCCACGCGGGGTGGCCACACAATCGAGGGTCTTCCCTGGGATGTGTTTTTTTGTTATTGCATGCCGTGCTCTACCACCCATCCTGTACACGTTCCTCATCCTCCTCCTTCCCCTTCCTCCCCCTCCCCTCGCCCCATCCC